GCCAGCATTACACGTGGAGGGTTTTTTAAACCAAACAAGGTTTTCTGTTTGATCCTGGAGCTGATATAGGGAGCCACTGGACTTTATTGAAAAGGGAGAGGACGCGGTCAGACCTATACTTTAATCAGTCACTTTGACAGCTGAGTGAAGAATGGACTGGAGTGGGGAGAGGCTTGAGCCAGGGAGGCCAACCAGAAAGCTGTTTCAGGACTCCAGATTTGAGGTGAAATAGGCCTGTACCAGAATGATGGCTTTGTCAGAGTAGAGAAGGAAGCACATACGAGAAATGTGATGAAGTAGAATTGACAGGACTTGGCAGAAGACTGGATATAGGGAAAGGAGTAAGAAGCTGAGGATGACACCTAAGTTTTGATCAGGAGGTGGGGGGGTGGGGGGTGAGGGAGTATAATTGGAAGGATTGCATACTCTTGATAGTATTAGGGTAGTTAGGAAGAGGGGAGGGTTTTAGATAAAAGAATGTTCAATTTTGGACATGTTGAAGGCTGTGGGCATCCATTTTAAAGATGTCCTTTTGGTCTTCATGGTATAAAGGTTAGTAATCTGTATCACTCCAAGTAACTGTCCTGTATTTATAAATACATATCTTTTTATCTGATTAGCTTTTCTATAGGAGAAAGCCAAAAGGGCTAAGTGGTGCGTTGCAGGAATTGGGAATAGAATTCTCAGGACGAGAACATTCTGGTGAGAAAGATCTAAAAACTGATTTATTTTTAGCTAAAATATAGAGTATATATTGCATTTGAGATAGCTAATATGTATTTATTTACAATTTCTTTCAAATGCTGAAAAAGATTTCATATGGGTAAGTAGAATGATAATGATAGTAATTCTTTAATGGTTCCATGTCCTTAAGTCATAGGAAGTAAAATGCTACCATCTAGTGGTTATTTTTGGTCCTTGATATGGGAATATTGCATTGGAAGTCTAAAGTGAAGTAAAACATGTTCAGAGCATGGTGATTCAGTGAAGAATTGGGCAAGGAAAATGAATTGGGTACAAATAAATATTACTTCAAAAGTTTTGGTGAATTTTTTTGGCCTGTTGACTAAATTACTATTGACTCTTTAATTAAAAAAAATGGGAAAATCTCAGTTTTCAATAATACTTCAATAGTTTTGCATAAGCACTAAGTTTATGGTTAAGAATTATCAAACCATTATACTGTTAATATGCTTGGTTTACATTTTTAAATTTCTTTTGCATTTCTTTATAGTATCACAAGGGATAATATTTGGCTCTCTCTTTCCCTAGGATTAGATGATTCTCGTAATACTGCCCATCTGGCTTGGCACATGATCAGAGATGGTTGCATAATGAAAATTACTAAATCTTTGGATAAAGTTAGTGGTATCTTGCTTTCTTTTTTCTATCATTTAGATTATAAGGGTGGGGGAATAAATATAGATTCATTAAATAAGCAAACAATTTAAATATAATTATTTTAAGGCAATCAGTAATGTTTTTCTTATTTGTCATACAGTATAATGTAGGAACTGTGATCACCTAGTTTCCAAAGCTCTTGGATTTGTCTGTGAAACTTATAGGTACCACATTCAGAGAAGAGTCCCAATTGTGTTGCCAGAGTTTTAAATCTGAATCAGACTGAAGATACTCTTGGACATAAGAATGGAATCCAGACTTCAAGCATGGATGATTTTTGTGATGGTGAAATTAACATCAGTAAAAATACCACAAATCCTAATGGAAAAAATCATCTAAAGTCAGTTTCCAGGAGTTCTTTTTTAAAGATACATCAAGATTACTTACCATTAAAGAGCACCAGAAATCTCGGTGAGGTTAAAAGTTGTTTCTCAGTTAATGAATCTTCTTTTCCTTTTGGGAAATTGCAGCCACCCAATTCTAATTCACCAGGGTACAGCCAAAACCAAATAAAAAGTGAATACCTTACCCATAATCCTAAATATAATTCTTCAGCATTGGGTTCAGGATTAGTGCTCGTCTCTACCACCATTTCATCCGTTAACAATATCTCTGATACAGATACAAGTACTAGCCTTGACTGTTTGCCAATGCTTGCTGATTGGGAGGATGTAGCTTTACTGCCAGCTTCATGGCCTGAACAGAAAATAGACTCTGTGCCTCCCACTGATATCTCAAACTCAGGCACTTCATTGGACCCTGGGGAAAAGTTAACGATTTTAAAAAAACAAACAATGATAAATTGCGCAGACTTGGGAAGTTTAGGAAAAGCATCACAGAGCCCTGAAATGTCAGGGTCTGTTGTTTACAGAAGCCCTCATACTACTATTTATAATGTAAAGGAATCCCCAAAACAGCCTTCAAATGTTGATACTTTTAAGTTACCTAACCTAAAAGTAAATGTATTGAGCAGATCTAAGACTACTTTGTCTCCTCCCTCAACATTGGGGGAACCACAGACTCCTTACTCTGTAGTCATTAAAAGAAAGTCTTCTAGTCCCCAGGCTTTCCCCCCATCAAAAAAGCAGTCGTTCACCATACATGAAGAAAAGCCTACATCATCTCAATGCTCGCCAGTGAAAAATTCACTTCAGAAGGTGACACCTTCTGTCTTAAAATCCATTGTCAACCTGAAAGAACCTTGGAAGAGTGGGAAAATGACACCTCCTTTGTGTAACTGTGGCCGAAGGTCTAAAAGACTCATTGTTTCTAATAATGGACCAAATCATGGCAAAGCCTTCTATAGTTGTTCTGTTGGGAAATACCAAAAGAATGGAAAGAACTGTGGTTATTTTAAGTGGGAGCAAACACTTCAAAAGGAGAGAACTAGTGGCATGGATTGCTCTCTTTCCACAGTAGGGATCGATTTTAGATCTCCTGGAACTTGTAGTTCCTCTAGAAATTTAATCTTTTCTCCTGAAAAATGTTTGAAACTCAGGCCATCTATGAGAACTTGAATATCATCTCTCTTTGTTTGCAAACCTTGCTTTAATTTAAATGGGTTTTGAATGCAACAAATGTAAAAGATATGTAGTACTACAAATTATAAGGAAACTCAATGGGTATTCCTGAACCCTATAGACTAGAATGTGCCTGCTTAAGTCTAAAACATTAAAGAAGTAAATTTGTAAAGAAATTTGTTTGGAAAGTGCTTTGAAAGACCCAACAAGGTCTGGCATTATATTTGGCTTTATAATTATTATTTTTAAAAAGAAAATTAATTTTATAGTATATTATTCAAGATAGTCTGAACTTTAGTCGCCAACACTAACTGGACTTCAATTATCATCTTACTCTATGGTTGTTAGTTCTTCAGTACTGTGCCTATTTCTTCATCTATAAAATAAAATTTCTCAATTTTTAAAGCAGGATGATGTCTAAACATATGCTATTTTAGTGCCTTTTTTTTTTTGCACGAACTCTTCAGCCAGGTATTATGTAATTGTCGAAGAAAATCATAAATGAAATGTTTTGTAAAGTATCTTTGTAGGGTACTTTTTTTTTTCAAATGCTGTGCTGGGACATGTAAACCCTTTTAAAATTGAATTAGAGCTTGAAACGGATTTTTAAATTATTAAATAAAAACAATGATAATGTTTACTTTGTTTTCATTCAGTGGTATTTTTACTTCTAGAAACATGCTAATAATCCTGTGACTAATGTAGTAAGTTTTTAAAAAAAGTAGTATGAGCTAGCTAGTTAGTATTTAAAAGAATGAGCATTTGAAGAGCTGGACTAACTTGTAAATCTGTATATCTTATTAGAATTATAGTTCTGTGTGTGTGTTGAATTCTTGGGCTGACCTCAGAGCAACTTAAAAGGTAAGAAGGTTATTAGTAAGAATCATTTTCTTACCATTACTTAAACATTTGCAATGGGTGAAATCTGAAATAACTGAGGAAAGAAAGGTTTGAGTTTCCAAGCATATTGATTTAAGCAATGCATGCCAATTGCATAACAGATTGGGACTAGGACTCCTAAGCTTGGCACTGGACCCAAATACAGGAGAAGACAGATTTTTATGCATTAAAAGAATTAACAGGATATAAACCAGGATACAAGATTAGGTAATCTGATTTCTAATTGGAGGAAAGATTATGGATTTTCCAAGTTGGGAAGAGTGAGTTTTGGTTGAGTTGGGAGGGGGTGAGTAGGTTTCCCAGAATTGAGATGCTAATTAATTGCATCCCCCTGGCATTTTATACTATCTGTAGTATATCATCTTACTATGGATTATGCCATCTATCTTCCCATGAGTGATTTGAAGAAAAACAAGATGGAGAATAATACATGTAACAGCACAAGATGGAGTCATTGTTCATGAGATGAAATCCAGTTGGCTCTCTTAATTCTCACATCAAACCAACTCCATATTGTAATTGGCCTTCACTGTTTCTTCACATCACTATTTTCATGATTATTTCTTATCTTCTCAGCTATAAGATGCTTAAGGACAGGAACCATGTCTCATACTTCTCCACTTAAGCTGCACCCTACTTAGTGTGGTTTCCTTATACATACTCAATATTGAATATTTTAAATACTTGAAGTTTCAAAATTGATAACTACTAAGAACCTAATTTGTCTGCACTACAAAAATAATTCTTTGCTTTACAAAAGGATTTATTTTAGGCCTCCTTTTAAGAAAATGGTGACATTAAGATTATTTATTTTATCAGAATTAAATTAACACATTTTTAGAAGCATTTTTTGTTCCTAAAATAAAATACAAATCTTTCCAGTAAGATAGCAGTTAGGAGAACTAGCCAGTTGTCCTGTCCCGTGGAGGTGGGGAATGGCAATGGCACTTGCCAGGCCCCAGTTAACACAACTGCAGAAGCCACTGCCTTGACCCACTTCTGCAACTTCCATATCCTTTTCAGGCTGTTTTGGGGGAGGAATTGCCCACGGCATTACCACTTCCAACCTGGGGCTGTGGGATGTGAGGGAGTCAGCTTTGGTCCCAGGACATGGCACAATGTCTTAACATGTAGTAAGCTCTTTACAGATGCTTGTTAACAGACTGACAAATCACAGAGTCAATCACAGAATATTTTATTTTACTTCAGAATTCTACTTCGTAACATTGCTACCACAAGATGTTCATAAAACCATGAATCCATGAAGCATCCATTATTTATTTCATCTTTAGGGTTTAAGTTCCAGAAAATATATGGGTTTTACAGGTATTATGGTATTATGTAATCAAGTAAAACTAGACTTTTCCCCATTCTTTCTTCCGCAATTCATTTCTTTTTATTTTTCCACTGATGGTCTTTGGCAGCTCATGAACAAATTGCACCTATTGGTATCAAGGTGGGAAAGTGTTATTCTAGCATTCTGCACTTAATAACTAAAATAAATTGTACTAAACAAATTTCATATATGGTACAGATGGTAAAATCAAGGTCTTAAATGCCTAGTACTAGAGTAGGAGAGCACAGAGCTTGGAGTGAAACTTGGGTTCAAATTACAGTTCCAACACAAGCTATCTGACCATAGGAAAGTCACTTTAGATTCTCTGAGCTTTAGTTTCCTCACCTGTAAAATGAGGAAAATTAGAATAATCCCCATTTGTGTCATTCTTTAAGGTTTCCAAAGCATCTTATTCATCACCATGTATCTTCCTTAAAAGAATGTTGATTAGGTAAGTTTAAAATCTATAAAGTGTTTTATAACTGTCAAACACTATTAAGGTTCATATTTTGTTTGAAAGGATTTGGTCTCGAAGCTTGCTACAAGGCCAGTGAGCCGAATGGTATGGCAAATTGGGGTTGGGGAATGGGGAATAGTTGAACTATAATGTTATAGATGTTAATTCCAACCCCAAGTTCTTGAGAATCAATTTAGGACATTGCAAAACATATTTGAGCATTTGTTGTTCAGTCATGTCTAACTCTTCATGACCCCATTTGGGATTTTCTTGGCAAAAATACTGGAGTGTTTGCCATTTTCTTCTCCAGCTCATTTTAAAGATGAGGAAACTGAGGCAAGCAGGGTAAAATAACTTGCCCAAGGTCACACAGCTAGTAAGTATCTGAGGCTGATTTTGAACCTGGGTCTTTCTGACTCCAGGCCCAGTGCTCTGTCTGCTGCATTAATATTTGAGCATAGTGCTTATTTAAAAACAAAAACAAACAAAAAACAAGTCCTCTTTCCCAAGACCATGGGACAGAATATCAAGTAGCCCTTCAATCTAATTCAAATACTTGCCTTTCTGGGATATTTGTATGGTGCCGTCATTCTTTTGACATGTTCCTGAAGCTCATTTTTCATTTTTTCTGGGTCATGTGACTTATAGTCAGGCTTGAGAACCACAAAGGCCTTTACTACCTTAAAAAAAAAAAATAATTCTAAGAAACATGAGATCTGCTAGGTACTTGTGATCCTGCCTTGGGTTTACCTTGTTTTCATTGTCTCTAACCGGAAAATGTTAGCATCTAATGAATTGTGACTTTCTAGTATAGATTTTAAGTAGTTTACACTTTATGCAAATAAGTTGTATGTACCAAGTGGTATATGGTGGACTGTCTTGGAAGTAATCCTGCAAACCATGTTCACATAGGAATGGGAGAAAATGGACACTTAAAAGATTCTAAAATCTAGCCTCTATCCCACCATATAATGCTGCATTGGAGTTAGGGATGATGAGAGGGCTGCAGCTCTGTTGAAGACTGTTTGCCCTTTGTTGTGAGTCTTACTTCTTTTTAAATAGAGAAGATTTGCAAAACCAGATCTTAAAACCCAACCTGGTCTCTAACTAACTTGAATTTTTAACAAATTAATCCCGTTAAATTCTGCTTAAGGGCAGTACATTATAATACTGTTGGAAAGTGTGCAGTTTGATAGTTAGATGCAAAAGTTCCAAGGCTAAGTGGATGGTGTTCTTTTACCTCTCCTCTGATTTGGTCTGGGCTGCTGACCACTGCTGACTCCAGGACTGCTGGGTGCACAGCTAGAGCATTTTCTATTTCAAAAGGACCAATTCGATATCTGAAAAGCAGAGCATTTGGTAGCACTTGATATACTGCCTAGGGGAGTGGTAGATTTATTTGTGTATAACAATGTTCAGTCTAAATAGGACATATAGAGAACAGAAAGGAAAATTACCCAGAGGATAAGATAATATCATCTGATCTTCCAGTAAACCAGATATATCCATCTTCATCCATATATCCTCTGTCACCAGTCATGTAGAAATCCCCACAGAACGTTGCAGCTGTTTTGAAAGGCTCATCCTGGCAAACATTTAAATAATATTGTATTAACATTATTGTGAATGTTATTGTTGAGTTTGGGTAGGTTTTAAAATATTCAAAAAAGGGGTGGGGAGGGGAAGACCTGACCCATTCGAGAAGTCTCTGGCAAGAAGATGCAAATGATCAGCAAGAGTTAGCTTGTAAAATAGAAATGAACCCCTGAATGTTAACTGCAACCCCAAATTATTTGGAATGAAATGAAAAAGGGAGAAGTCATGCAAAAAAAAAGGATTTTTTTATGTACATTTCTACATTTTGAAGCATTTTGAGGAGTAAGCCATAGGGTTAATTATCAATAAGAGACTAAGTGCTCAGAACAACAGGTCAAATAAGGCCTTTGCTGGGAGAAATTTTAAAAGGTTTTCACCATGGCAGGGAAAGTCAGAACAGTGAAGTTTCTGCCTTATGAAGAGGGTAATAAGGAGGCAATAAGCAGGTAGAAATAGGATCAGAAGGTAAGCATTAATTGAGAAGCAATCTCAGTCAGGGCAGGCCTATAGGAAGAGATTTAGTTAAGTACTATTTGATAGAGGGAAGTTAGCAAGGATACTTGACTAGTAGTAGTTAGGTGTGTTGTTTTGAATCTTATTCTGTTTTGTCACGTAATAAACTAGAGATTAATCAAAATATGCTTTAATGTAATGAACTTGGCTTTAGTAGTTGAATGAATCACCTACTATATTCCTACTTTTACCCACACATAAACATCCAACATCTGCCTAGTGCAATATTAACCAATTAATAGGAATCAGTATAGAATTTATCTTACAATCATCTGGCTTAAATGACATTGGACATCACATTTACTCCTTTGCAATAAGCAAAATGAAGTTCTCAGCCTCATACGCAATTAATCTGCCAACAACAATTTGTTATATGTTTGTTATGTGCCTGGCACTATGCTACATGCTAGATAGCAGAGAAGGGGATTCTCTGTTATCCAAGCATATAGAAAAGTCCTCCAGGCTGGCAGCCTAGGTGTCATCCTTGACTCCTCAGTATCTCCAATTTGTCACCAAGGCTTATCAGCATCTCTCCAATATGCCTCCTTTCTAACCCTGCTACCACTAGTGCAAGCCCTTACCACCTCACACCTGGACTACTGCAATAGCCTGCTGGTGTGTCTGCCTGCCTCATCTTCCCACTCTAAACTCCAGCCATCCAGTAAAGTGATTTTTCAAGTGCAAGTTCAACTATTGAAACCCCCACCTCACACCCACTCCCATAAAATAAAGTCCATTGCCTTCCTTTCACTTCCAGGATCAAATACAAAATCCGCTGGCATTCAAAGTCCTTCATAACCTAAACCCAGCCCTTTCCTTTCCAGGATTCTTATATTGTACTTGATGCCACTTACTTTTTGATTCAGTGACACTAGCCTCCTGGCTGTTCCACAAACAAGACACTCCAGGCTGTCAACTCCTGGCATTTTCTCTGGCTGTCTCTCATGCCTAGGATGCTCTACCTTATCTCTATCTCCTGGCTTGCTTCAAGTCCCAACTAAAATCCCACCTTCTACGGTTCTTCTTAATTCTAGTGCCTCCTAATTATTTCCTATTTATCCTGCATATAGCTTATTTTACACATTTGTTTTCTTTTTGTCTCTGTTAGATTGTGACCTTCTTGGGAGCAGGGACTGTCTTTTGCCTTTTTTTTGTATCCCCAGCACTTAGCACAGTGCCTTGTGCCTGATGATTATTGACTGACTTATTGACTGAGGAGATTTATCAGAGATATTTATTCCAGAATCAATGCGAAATGTGTCCTGTAAGGGGCTTTCTGTTTAAATTACTTTCAGACTATAACAGCAGTGTGAAGTTTTTTAGCCATCTGCAGCATGGTACTACAGGCGTAGGATTTGAGTCAGAAGACTTGGATTCACATAGTGGCTCTGCCACTTAATATCTCTGTGGACTTAGGCAAGTCATTATGCCTCTATGCCTCAGTTTCTTCAGGCTGTGAAATGTGGTTGGACTTGACCTCTAAGGTCCCTTCTAGCTTAAATATTATGCTCAGATGATTCACAGATGCCGAAATATACCAAATAACTCTCATCCATTGCATTAAGGGTCAAGAGTATCATGGTGAATTCTACCCATCGATCCTGTTACTAGAATCATAGCAATAGCCAATAACAAAACATATTTGAGTTTCCTCTAACATCTTCTTGAAGAGATGCTAGTTACCAGTGAAATAGCCAAAAAACATAGAGAAGAATGGGCCCAAATAATCATAGAAAGTTGAACCTAGAATTCCTTCATTTTACAGCTGAAGAAACTGAGGCTCGACAAGATGAAAAAACTTGCTCTAGTTAGTAGCAGAAGCAGATTAGAACCCTGGTCTATCAGATCCTAGGCCTGTGTTCTCAATGCCACATCCTTCTTCATCCACAAACCAGATCATTTACCTCAGAATACTCGACCATGTGCTATGAGCATGTTAGTTAAATCCAATTAATCAATCGACAATATTCTCAACCCTCCAAATAACCTAATTTTTAAACTTTCCCCACTTCATATTCTTACTACTTATATAAACCTGATAAAGATATTTTAGTTTAAAATAAATATGCAGTATGTCAATTACCCTCAGATTTAGCAAATTTCTAAATATTGCTAATTCCCGTTGGAGGCAGGGAGTGTTGTGAATAGTAGGAAAGGATAAATTGAGGGCAATTAAATTAAGATAAAACTTGTCATTTAAATATCATTGATATCAAAACACATGCCAATATGTCACGACTTGAAGAGAATGTTAGAGATTTATCTATTCTAATCCTTTGATTTTACAAAAGAGGAAGGCTCCAAGAACAGAAGTAATTTGCCCAAGGTCACATAGCTAGTTAGTGGCACAGCACCGACTAGAACCTAGGTCTCCTGAATCCCAGGCTAATATTCTTTCTGGCACACTGAATTGCATATTACAAGTAGTTGAGGAAAATAGTTCACATAACAATAGCTAGCACTTCTTTAGCATTTTAAGATTTGCAAAGCACTTTACAAATGTCTCATTATTTTAGGCTCATTTGAAATATACAAATTATATTAGTGCTAATAATTATAATTAATATGTATATTGTTTTATTTAGACTTTGAAAATATTAAAATCATTAAATAAAATATTCCTTACAACATAACCAGCAAATAAACCAAGTGGTCGGTTAGGTAGAACTCGGATGCCAATAATTCCTTCTTGTTTAGGGGGCAGGATACTGCCATTTTCATCTATAATCTTGAAAAAAAACAGAATGGTTTATTAGCTGAATGCTTATATAAATTGTCATATTTTAAGCCCCCTTTGCTTTGAAAATACTTAAACCGTATAAATATTATGTGCTGGGGAACAGAGTCCTTCAGAGCCCCAAAGGTGTTCAGCTGTGCTGCAGGAAGGTTGGGATGGATGTGGTTCCCCCAAACCTTTTTTTCAGGTCCTGGGATTGTGAGAAAGGGATTGTGCAGAGAATAGAAGGGAGAGGGATGTGTCCGCAGGGAGCATAAGGAAAAACTGCAGTAGAAAGTGATCAGTAATCACAGCTGACTCTGATGCTTTATACCATATTCCTCTAAATTTTTCCAGGCTTTGGAGAGGGTTAAATTGTTTCCCTATGTTGACCACTACCTCCAGTGGCATTCTCATCCTCTAATTAAACTGACTGAGCCATGAATATATCCCATTCTCCATCACTTAATTCCTATGAAATAAGATTAGAATTATTATAAAATAGGAGGAAAAAATGGGAAAGTGGAGGGAATGTTCCAAGAAAACCAAGTAGTTAGGTTGGAACTGAGTAGGAGTTAGAAACATAGGGTTTTATGATGCAGTGGTAGATAAAACAGACTTGGAATCAGATTTGGAAGGAAATTAAGTGGCCACCCAATCCAACTTATATCTGAACAAAAATCCCCTCTATAACATACCTGATAAAGTGGTCAGCCAGCCTTTGTTTGAAAGCCTCCAATGAAGGGGAACCCAACCTCTCCCAAGACATCTCACTCATTGATACCTTTTTAGGTGGAACTGGAAAGGCAGGCTAGGCCCAAATGGTGGAGAAGCTTCAATGCCAGGCAAATGAGTTTGGACTTGGCCTCTGTTCCTTCTGATTATAATGTTCACTTCAAAATGTAAAAATCTAACAGCCTATAAGACTTACATCCTATTAACTAGGACTCTGGTGTGGGAAACCTGCAGTCTCGAGGCCACATGTGGCCCTCTAGTCCTCCAAACTTCACAGAACAAATTCACAAAACAAAGTTTGGATTCAGTCAAAGAGTCATACTTGAGGGCCCATGTAGCCTTGAGACCACAGGTTCCCCATCCCTGAACCAGATGCTCAGCCAATATTTACTGATTCAATGCCCAAACATATATTACACCTTCTTACCCCCATGCCTTTGTAGATTCAGTTCACTGATACCCTTTCTCCTCTCCTCCCTTCCACTAGTCTACTCATTCTTCAAAACTAGTTTGTAAGCCTCATAAAACCAGTTATTACTATTTGTTGTACCTCCTTTTTTGGCCAAAAATAAAATAATCTGTTTTGATCACCCACCTTAATCACCATATTATAGAGACTGTGACACTTAGTAATAAGAATAATTATAAAAGAAGGGTTAAATTCAATTTCCCTGCTGCTTTATTATATATATTCTTCCAGTAAAGGATGTGTCAACCTTAACATCAAAAGCTGGAGAAGGCTTTCCCATTGAACCATTTTTAATCTTCATTCCTTTGAAAGTTCCACAGATTAGCACCTATATTTTAAAGAAAGGAAAAAATAGGACAAACCCATATATTTGATTAAAAAATTATCTTTACAATGTTAATTAGTGCTTAATCTTTTCATGTCATGATACTCCCTCTCTACCTCCCTTTAAAAAAATACATCATTCCATCATTATGTGAGGCTTCTAGAAGTATGAACTGCATACTGTTGTCTGGTTTATACTTGGGGAGTTATTTCTAAAGCAAATTAAAAAAAAACAAGTTTCTCACATTTTTAAAAAATAGATATATTTTCATTCAAAAACATTTCTGGCTACATAATGCTTTTCCTTAGGCTTTTTTTTTTTTTGGATGTTTATAGTGCCTTATTAAAGCTAGGTTTCCTTAGTTTGTGGAGCAGTTTTTTTTTTCTCATCCTTCAAAAGATTTCATAGATAATTTAGATCTCATTATTTTTGCCTTGTGAGCTTATAGTCTAGTAGAGTCCAAGTTCCATAAGGCAAGGGTCTTGGTTAGCTAGGTGGCTCAGTGGAGACCCACGTTCAAATCCAACCTTACCAGCTATGTTTTGGGCAAGTCATTGAACTTCAGTTTCCTAATCTGTAAAATGAGGATAATAATAGTATCTACCTCCCCGAGTTATTGTGAGGACTATAATGTGCTTAGTACAGTGCCGGGCATATAGTAGGCACTTAATAAATGTTAGCCATTATTTATTATTATTATTAAACTCTGTATCTTTCCTGAACTTGTACTGTATAACAAAAAAAAATTTAATAAATTGTTGTGCAACCACACCACATGTAAATATGTGTACCGTTTCTGTCTGTCCATATCCCTCATAGATGTCCAGCCCCGTCCTGTTTTTCCACTGCTCAGACACTTCAGGGTTCATTGGCTCTCCAGCACTCACACAATGCTTCAGACTTTTGAACTTATATCTTCATCGAAAGAAAATGTATGAGTGGAGGGGAAAAAAAAAGAATTAGGATTGTTTCTTATGCACTTTCAAAACAAGGTATATCATCTCCCTCCCTCAAACAATAACTTTAAAATATACCCCGAGTGCCAAATTGAGTATTTTTAGGGTTTTGAAGTAAATAATAAGTCACAATTAGTAGCAAAGAAATGGCATGACATAAAAGAAAAAGAAATGGTGGTGTAAATTCAGTACAAAACATTTACCAAATCACTCTGTCCAGTAAAATCTATAGTAAAATAAATCCAAGCATTCAACACGTATTAGGTACCTACTATATACACCAGCATTCTTGTCTATGTGATTGGGATCATTAGTTTCTCTGAACCAAGTAGGCTAGTGTCTTCTATTTGGCAGGCATTATCAGTGCTAAGACCCTTCTTATATATTCTATGCTAGGGGTTATAGTGTGAGTTGTACAGAATGCAGTGTGGTCACTGCTATGTTACTTTTAGGAGAAAAAGGGGCCTATTTATCAACCCATTTGATGGTGTAATCCTTGTTAGGTATTTCATCACCACTTACCTGGACTCCCAATTTAGCATAAGCATCCGATAGGCAGTTGGAGGTGAACAGAAGACCGTAATGGGAAATCTGGATAGGGTCTAGAATACAGAATTAGGAAGAACCATGTAACTTCAACTTCTGTAAACATTTAAGTAGTTGTTTTGTGCATGGCACAGGGCAGCTCAAAAGCATGTTTAATGGCAGATCCTGGCCTGATATAATGGAAAGAGGAATCCAGGGAATCAGAAGGAAAGGGAATAAGCATCTATTAAGTAAATACTATGTGCTTGGTACTATGCTAAGCATCTGACAAATATTATTTATTTGATTTTCACAACTACCCTGTGAGATAGGTACTACTATTATTTCCATTTTACAGCTGAGAAAACCAAGGCAGAAAGAGGTAAGTGACTTGCCTGTGGTCACACAGATATTAAGTATCTGAGGCCAGATTTTAATTCAGTTCTTTCAGAAGATCTAAGCTTCAATGCCAGCTGCATCCCCACCCCCCAAAAAAAGTTAGATAACCTTAGACAAGGCACATGGGCTTTTGTTTCTTCATCTATAAAATGAGGGGTTTGGATTTGATGATCCCTAAATGATCTCTGATTGTAAGCTTATTTAAGAGATGAAATGTGTTATACAAATACCAACAGCAAGAGAGAAATTCCCCCAGAACTCTGAACACCCTTGAGAGCATTTTACTTCCTAGATCTGAAATGCAGGCTCTGATAGAACAAGGCCCGGCATGTTGATCTCTTGGGTCCCTTTCAGCCCTAGCATTCCCCGGGTCTTTCTTTTTGTTAGCCTTACTTTTAAGATGGAGGCTGGCTCAAAACGTGGCATATAGCTTACAAACACACAAGCTCCTAAGCTCCATGGAGAAAAAACACCACTCCAAGCTGATTTTGCCCAGCCTGTGTCTGCCATATTCCACATTATATCGGAAGGGGTCAAATCCAGCCAGTACCTGAGAAAATAAAAAAAGAAGTTGTACTGTGAGGGACAGGTGGGAAGATGAGCAAAATGGTTCCAACACTTTTGTTATTTAGACAATGCTCCAATACATAGAAGAATGAAGTACCTTCCATTCATCGATAATCCTAAACCATAACTGCTGTGTGTGTGTTCTGTCATTTTAGGAAAGCCAGTGGTCCCACTAGTAAAATAGATGGTCATTGTTTCATCGTGTCTGGTCTTCACACAGCTGTGGTCATCACTTGCATGTCTGAAAAGGATAGCCAAAAAGAGTCTGTAGATTCAGTTTGGGAAATCTTTTCATTTAATCGTGAAACCCTCCTCCACCCCATTATTGTTAAAGTATCTTTTCTCATCTAACTGAATTGGACTGGTATCTCAAGAGCTGAATGCCGTAGCTTTGCATCATACAAAGGGAATGTTTTTGCATGTTCTTGAAGCCTTAAATATTAATTAAATAAAAATCAAATACAAATTCAATTAATTACATTAATTAAATGAGATTAAATAAAGCCTTAAAAGTTCTGTCCTTTTTTTCCTTCTTGAGCCTACAGGCTTTTTTGATATATTCTAACCACTATCTGTCCCTATGATAAATTACTTATCCCCTGACCCCCACTGAGGGCCTAGAATATGATGCTTTGTAGTACAGACCTCCACAAAAATCACACTTTAATAAGACATCATAACATGGAGGTGTGCCTGGATTCTTGAAAGCTATACTAGTAGAATGTAAGTTCCTGTAAGTCCTAGTATGCTAAAAGTCTTTGAAAGGCTATAAAGATAGAGAAGTTATTATAGTATTATTATCATTATTGTTATTATTTTGAGACTTGGTCTATCTTGCCCAGGCTGGAAGTGCAGGGGCTACTCATAGGCCTGACCTCACTACTTACCAGTGCAGTTTTGACCTGGTCTGGTCCTTCCCCTTTTAGGCAGCTAGGTGATACTCAGGTCTTGAGGGCTCAACCATATTGGTGCTGAACTTAGTGAAGACACTCAATCAGCTTAGCTTAATACAACTCAGAACTCCCAAGCTCAACTGACCTATCAGCCTCCAACTCTCCAGGAGCAGGGATTATAGGCATGTGCTATCACATCTGGCTACAGGTAGAAAATTCTAAAAATTAAGATCCTCTAAAGCAATTCAGCATGTATGTTGATGCTCAATAACTTTTATGTGAAGGTGCGTATAAGGGATGATGGGGAAAAAAAAGTATGTTAGAAGCATGAGACTAGCAAAATGGTAGTATAATTTTCTGCCAAGTAATCCAAACCCAAAACTTACACACACATGGAATTATGTGCCATAGAGTAATTAAAGTTGAATTTACAAAATAGAAGATGAAAATAACTTACAAGGTAGAAACCTCATCAAATAGCATGCTATAGCTTAACTACTTGATTGTCCCAATCATATCCCTATCACCCAATCCCTTCCACAGACTACAGCCAGGAGTTTTTAACTTGGGGCTCATGAACTTGTTTTTAAAAATGATAACTATACTTCAATATAATTGATTTCCTGTGTAATATGATGTAATCTTATGCATTTAAAAAACATTTTGAGAAGGGGTCATAGGCTTCACCAGACTGCCAAAGGGATCTAGGACACACCACAAATTTAAAAACCCCTGGATTAGGCACAGGCAGCACATACAATCACACAGGCACACATTTCAAGGTTCAAATGTGGGCATGCCTTACCAGATCCTCCAAGGTTAGAGACTTAGTCTGAACTCTCTCTCACTTGACAAAAGTTATCAAACATCCACTCTGCTCAACCATATAAAGGTCAGAAGAACAAACAGTTTGTAAACAAAGCTGCACAAAGCCCATTGCAAAGGAGGTGAAGGTGGAAAAGAGCTTCTGTACCTGAGAAAATGGGGAAAGCCATCTGGGATAGGTATTCCCATTCCCTTAAGAATTCCCTAGGCTGGGCCCCCAAGTCCCTTTACAAGGAGGCTAAGAGTGCCTAGTGGAGGGGGAGAGGAATTGGGAAGTCCTGAAGAGTGACTGGGAACAAAGAGTCTAAAAGACCAAAAACTTCCATGGAGAAAGCCTGAGTAAAAAGCTAGCTCACAAGCAGAAAATACAGCTCTTATGAGATGAAAGAAAGAATGAATAAAAACTAAAAGACATCAAAGCATCATAAATATTATACTATAAAGGAAAATGAAACAAAATTCTCCAATGAAGAAAACAAGTGCTATGGATTCTCCAGGGATCACAGACAACAGTAAGAAACTCCAGAATGGTTCAATAGGGAAATAACACTTTAAAAAACCCCCAAGATATTAAGATTTAAATCAGGTCAGAAATCAGTTCTTACAACACAGAATTCAAAAACACAACCACCAAGGAAGAAAAAAAAATTAAAAGCCATAATGGATAATCTTTCCAAAGAAGTAGAAGATCTGAAAAAGAGAATGAAAATTTTGAAACAAAAATAAAGAAGTAGAACATAATTTTCAAAACAAAAGCAAAAGACAATGACTTTAAAAGAACAAATGAATCCTATAAAAGCCATATTTATTGACTTTTTAAATAGAATGTGCAGAGATAAGGATTACAGGTCTCAGAAGAAATCGTGACTCTTAAAGCTGAATACCATATTGCAGAAATAATGTAAGTAAACTGTCTAGAACTTCTGAATAGAGATAACAAAGTACTGATAGACTGAATCCATAGATTACTGTCAAAGAAAAAAAACCCACGCTTAAAATTCTAAGGCATGTAGTGGTTAAATTTCATAATTTTAACAATAAAGCAATCAGGAGAAAGACCTTAATGAAGGATTGCTAATTAAAAAAAAAAACCACGATAAACTTCATTATAAATGAAAAAAAGTGGACTTTCAACAAAAAAATAGCATTTCTGAAAACAAAAAAATAGAGGTGAGCAGAATATTTAAAAAAACAATCATGCAAACAAGAGAAATGGAGGAAATGTAAACAAATTATCCAGAAAAGACTAAGTAATGAAATTAATTATCTCTTATTTATAGATTACTGTTTAAAGAAAAGATGAAAAAATGAACTGACTATATAAAAAATAAAGATGGATAATCAGGGGTCGAGAAGGTTCTGAAGAACTACAGATTCAAGGGGAGTTTAAGGCTTCAGGAGAAAAGGAAGGGCTGAATTATTATTCTGTGGACCAAATCTCATTATCCCCTATGTGAATTCCTATCTTTATGGAAATTATGACAGGGGAAAACTACATAATGGAGAGAAGGGAGATGAAAAACAGAGGAGGGCTAATGATGCACTTCTCCCCAGTCTAAAGGTGAATAGAGAAGGGGTAGTCATTCTTTTAATCTCTCAGTGAGAGCAGGCACTGTGGAAAAACAGGATAAAAGCAAGAAAAGGAGGGACTAGGATAAGGGAAGTCTTGCTACAGAAGGGGAAGGAAACATTCCTAAAAGGAGAGGTATATTTCTATGATAAAAGATAACAATCTTAGAATGGGTTTCATCTGAAGGGAATTTACACACTGGAAAGTCACGGGCTCCCAGAAAGGGTTGTATGCTGTGGGACCGCACCCTACCCCCAGAGAGGTAGGTGGCCTATAAGTCCCCTCTGGCAGCCAGTATACAGGGTACAGGTAGGAGGGGATGGTGGTGGTGACAGAATCAAAGACAGATAGCCTGGCCTTAGCAATACTAAATGATAATGAGGATGGGGTAGGAGCTAACCTCACAACTCAGGACACAGAGTGACTCCCACTACATGACACTATTCCACTTGGTGCTGCTGTCTTCATGGGAGTGATACTTCTAAGAGTGAGGCACAGCAGGAAAAAAAAGGAGGAGGGATTAAGATCTACAAATGCAAAAACAGAAATAGGGCAGAAGTGTTTAGAATCGGTACTCCAAAAAACTACATTCTCAAGGGGAATGCAGAATTAAAAAGGAACAAATGAGGGTGTAGCCTTTGATTTGGATAATAAATTCAGAATATACTAGAAAGGAATAGAAATGAGAAGAAAAAATAAAAGGGACACAAAAAACCCAACTTAAACTAAGCGGTTAGGGTAGAAAAGATTTTGAAAACCATGTGTAGCTGAAAGGGAAAAGAGAAGGGACAACTAGGTGGCGCAGTGGATAAAGCTCTGGCCTTGGAGTCAGGAGGACCTGAGTTCAAGTTCAACCTTAGACACTTGATGCTTACTAGCTGTGTGACCTTGGGCAAGTCACTTAACTCTGACTGCCTCACCAAAAAAAAGAAAAAAAAAGAGAAAGGTCAAAAGAGGTGAGGAACATAAATAAAAGAAGGAGAAATTAATAATTTAAGTAATTTCAATGAACTTGGGACAAAAAGGTACATGGAAGTTTGGGGATAGAGAATGAACCTATGGGAATAGATTAGCATCAAAATAATGTAAGCAAAACTAACCACAGGGGCAAGGCATTGATTTAAAAGAGAAGTGAGATAAAATCGATTCAAAAGAAATAAATGGAGGAAAACACAAGTCTGTCATAACCTTAAATATGAATAGCTTAATCCAAATAAATAAAAGGGATTGGCAGGATAAATAAGAAAGAAAATAAGCCCTCCAAATTTGCTGCATACAAGAAATATGTATGAAAAATAAATATATACATACAGGATGAAAATAAGACTGAAATAAAATTTACTACACAGCAGGTGATTCCAAAAAAGCAGAAGTTGCACTCATGCTATTAGGAGAAGCAAAAATAAAAATTTACCTTAAGAGAGGCAAATAAGAAATTATATTATGCTCAAAGGTATAATAAACAATGAAACAATATCAATACTAAACATACTGCTGAGTCCAGATTAGTGTGAATAATTAATCATGTGAAGTGGTTGCATTTATTCAAATGCATACTTTTTGAAATTAGAATTATGTAAAATATGGTAATTAATTCCAGCCCAATGGAAATATGCAGTGCAAATTTGAATAATGTGACTACTTCACAGGATTCATTATTCACACTAATCAAGACCTAGCTGTATGCACTAAGTGGAATAGCATCTAAATGCATAAGTTAACTGATACGCAAAAAGACATATAATAAGACAATAATTGTAGGAGACTTTATTATTTCTCAGAACTAGATAATCATGGATAAAAAGGAAAGTATAGAACTAAATAAACTATTGAAGAAGTTAGATCTAAAAGACTTGAAAGCATCTTCTGAATGGAACATTAAGGAATATACATATTTGTCAGCTCCATTTTACAAAAATAAGCCACGTACGAGGGCAAAGAGAAATTACACATAAGTATGAAAAAGCAGAAATACTAAACATTTCATTCACAGATCATAAAGTAATAAAAATGTCACACAGAGTATACAAAGAAAACAGAGAGACCTAAATGGATACAATTATGAGTTGGTCAAAGAAAAAAAATAATAGAAAATGTATAAACATGTAAGAGAAATATAATAAGACAACACACCAAAACTTAAAAAGCAAATAGTTCCTATGCTATGCAAATTATTCTCAAAAACACACTATTAAACTTTTGAAAGACAAGTGTTATGACCTAATACTTAAACCAGGGAGGAATAAATTTTTAAAAAGAGAACTAAAGGCCAATATCACTAATGAATATTAATATAATTTTTTAAAAGACTAGCAAAAGGCTACAAAAATATATACAAAAAATTATTCCTTATAAACAAGTTGCATTTATATCAAGGATGTAAGGATGAGTCACAATTAGGAAAACCATCATCATAACTAATCATATTAAAAAATAAAAGACCCTCAAAAGTCATGATTGTGTCAATAGATTCAGAAATAGCTTCTGATAAAGTACAACACTCATGCATTTAAAAACCCTAAAAAGCATGGGCATAACAAGGGCATTTTAAATAAAAATAAAAACTATCTTAGAACCAAAAAAGCATCATTTGCAATGAGAAAACACTAGAAATTTGCCTATTACATACAGGAGTAAAACGAGTAATTCTCCTTTCCTCACTATTATTTGACATAATTCTAGAAGGGCTGACTATAGCAAGGAGAGAAAGAACTTAAAGGCATAGAGGCTGGCAAAAAAGAGAGACAGAGAATATTATTTATTTTTCATGATATTTATTTAGAAAATAATTTTTCTAATTTGGTTAGCCTAAATCAGGTTTATTTAGAAAATCCAAGAGAATCAGCATAGAAACTACCTGCAACAATTAAAACCATCATAGTATCTTAGATCCAGAGCTAGAAGGGATCTCAGATTTAGGGCTGGGGTTAGAGACAAAATGAGAGACAGACAGAATGAGGGTTAGAGTTGGGGTACTGGGTATTTTATTTCATGCACTTAAAAACATTCTTCTGAGAAAAGTCTGCAAGTTTCACCAAACTGCCAAAGGGGTCCATGATACAAAAAAAAAGTTAAGAACCTCTGCTCTGACAACTGGGTCAACCAGAAAAGTAACTGGCCTCTCTTTGAATGGTGTCCTCCATTCTAAATTATGATTTAGCATTTCCATGCTCTCACCACCAGATGGCTCTCTTGCTACCTGCTGTGATAGCTGTCTTCCCTTTGGATCTTGATTAATTTTGGTGGGGATTTTGCTTAAGTTGTGCAATAGTTAGTTTTGTAAAAGCTATGGATACTCACTTCATCAATTCTTTGAGGTTTATCCACCCTTCTTTAGGCTTCTCAGAAACAATTAACTTGGACATCAGAATTGTACACTTTTGGGCAACGGAATCCACTGTCGTAGCAAAAGTATCATTGGTAATAATGCACTTTGCCATGGAAGTTTGTAGCCTATACAGCAGATCATTTTCAGTCAGCTGGGTGGTTCCAGGAATTAAGACAGTGCCTAAGGAAAAGGGAAATGTTTAACTTTTACCTTTTCATATATGTAAGGATACTATAGATTACATACCCCCTTTCTCAACTAGGATTGGTTGTTTTTATCAAGTTCTGGGAACAAGACTTACTTGAACTATTCTGCTGTTGCATAACATGAGATTCCAAACACTTAGACCCTTTTGTCATCATATGATCACAGGATTTAAGAGGTGAAAGGGACCTATTGATTATCTAGATCTTCATTTTACAAATGAAACTGAGGTCCAGAGAAAGGTGAGAAAGGAACCTCTATTTGTAGACTACTGCTTGTATTAGGGGATTAAAGGGATTTTTGATTATAAAGTTCAGGTCTCACCAGATTATAATTACTACAAATATCTTATTAAATGTGAATTATTTAATATAAAAACTGAATGATTGAGACAACATAAAATAGATCCTTACCTGTTTTGTCATTGGTAGATTTTTTTTCCTGTAGCCAAAAAGTTTTAGGATTACATGTTACTTCCAATGAGTTAGTGAATGGCCATGAAGGATTAGTCAAGGGACTGGAAATAGGGTGGTATACAGAAAAGAGTATACTGCAGATCAAGGGATTTAGGTTATCTCTGCCTATCTCTGGCATACAACTCAGCTGAGTGACCTGAGTCAAATCACTTCACTTGGTTTTCTCATTTGTAAATAAGGGGGTTAGCCTAAATCAGGAATCTTAACCTGGGGGGCCAAAAACTCTTAAGAGACCCATGGATAGACTTCTGGGGGTCCATAAACTTGAATGGGGAAAAAAAATCACATCTATTCTCATTAACCTCAAGCTGAAATTTAGCATTTCTTTTAATTGTTTTAAAACTTTCTTCTGAGAAGAGGTCCATTGGCTTCATCAGAAAGCCAAAGGGGTCCATGGCACACAAAAGGCTATTTAAACCTCATCCTAGGTGTGACATTCTATGAAACTCCTTGACAAAGACCTGTGATCTAGGGCTAAAAGCACTATACAGTTAGTCAAAAGGCCCAGCCTCTATTTTTCTGCTCTAACAGATTGTGAGATGCCTTTGGGCATTGGTGCTCAGTAATTACTTACTGAATGAACTTGAAACAAAAAGTTTTTAAAAACTGGTAAATGTTACTTAAAACAAGGGACCAATTGTAATGGAATTTGACCTATAAACAACGAGGAGCTTTATAAGTTCAAATACTAATAGACAGATCTCTCTGTGGGTCAACACTTGATCATGACCTTCTCTCATTTAATATATGTATTTCCAACCATTTTAAGAGTCTTTAATGAAGACTTTCCAAATATATGTTATATAAAAAGCACAAGTCCCCATAGATATTTCATGTTACCCCTAAAGATGATCTTGGCCAATACCTGTGTATAGGGAATAGCTACCAGGAAATTAATTAATAGAACATTAGAGCTGATTAAAAATTAAATTAAAACTAGTTTGGCCTCATTCTTTCATTGAACACACAGGGAAACTAAGGCTCAAAGTCACAAAGCTAGCCCAGTCTTCTTTCCTCATCAGTGTTTCCATTGTGAAGGACAACTCTGTTAGCTTAAGATGACCCTGGACCTTCAGAATTAATATTCAAATATGAGATACACGTGTGTATGCATATGTGCACACATGTATATGTATATATGATTTGTATATATGTATATAAAATTTGAGCATATTACATATTATTGAAAGGTAGCAATTATATTAAATCAGAGATTTCAGTCAAATAAGCAAAAGGTTACAACTGACAACAGAAATGTAAATATTAATTTGGTAGTAGTTATTCCCTATTTATAGACAGTAGGTCAAGGTTGCAATAAGTTTAAAATGTTAAACTTCATATATTTCTTTAGTAGCATCTTTCCAATAAGTTTATAACCTCCTACGGGTGAGGGCAGAGATTGTATTTTTGCATTGTTGCTCTTAGGGGAGGTAGGTGGTACAGTGGATAGAGTGCCAGACCCGGAGTCAGGAAGACTCATCTTCCTGAGTTCAAATCTGACCTCAGATACTTACAAGCTGTGTGACCCTAGGTAAGTCACTTCACCCTGTTTGCCTCAGTTTCTTCATCTATAAAATGAGCTGGAGAGGGAAATGGCAAATCACTCCTGTATCTTTGCCAAGAAAATCCCAAATGAGGTCATAAAGAGTCAAACATGACTGAAAAAAATGACTGAATAACAATTGTTGCCCTTAATACAGTATGTACCTTATACATATCTCTTGATTGATGTGTGATTTATTAAAAATCAAATAACATTAATTTAGAATTTATGAATCATAAAAATTAGGGACTAAATGAATGTATTACCAACCTGTTCGTAGACATGCCACATTTGTTAGCCACCATTCTGGAATTGCAGGTAAAATTACCATTACCCTGTCTCCCTTTTCCAGACCACAGGATTTGGTAAGGACATTGGCCAATTTTTTAGACAAAGATCCCAGCTCCTGAAAGTTCCATCTCACTTCCTCTACATTATCATTTACCCACCAGAAGGCTGGGTTGGATGGTCTCTTTCCAATCTGGTAGACATGAAAGATCATATATACATATTTTATATTTTATATATTTTAAATTAAATGTTTTGTTCAAAATTTAACATTAAACATCAGTAGAAAAATTAAATTTGTTTGCTGACTTGTTTCACTAAAATTCATTTCAATGTACAAAAGTATCTTAAGACTTTTTCAGCCCCTTCAAGTCCCCATCAAGACTCTCTTCATTCAATCTCATTCACTTATGTTCATATGACTCATAGTTAATGTGTACTCCATTATAGGTCTGCTTTTTTGACTATGCATTATTTCAAAAAGGTCTTCCTAGATTTATCTCTATTTCTCATACTTATTCATCTTAATTGCAATATAGTAATCAAATATATAAATCCTATTATTACCTCTAGGATGGGGGAGGTGGGAGCCAGGGCAATTTTATATAATTCAGCTATGAGAATCTTTGAACAGATGGCCATTGTGGGGGGGGGGGGGTTAATAATACTGATAGTGTATGTTCCCAATGATGGAATCATTTGGTCAAAAGGTATGACCATTTTTATTAACTTTTATTGTGCACTGACAGATTGTCCTTCCAAAAATTTCTACAAGTTTAAAATTCTACCAACAATGAATCAATGTACTTATTCCTCCACAACCTCACCAACACTGGGTTTCTTTTCTTTTCTTTTCTTCTTGAGGCAATTGGAGTTAAGTGACTTGCCGAGGGTCACACAGCTAGGAAGTGTCTCAATCAAATCCTCCTGACTTCAGGCCAGTGCTCTGGCCACTGCGCCCTTCCAACACTGGTTTCATTGCTCTTGATGATTTGCCAATTTGATGGGTGGGAAGTAATATATTAAAGTTGTTTTAATTTTTGTCTCTTTGATTATTAGTGAAGGCAAACATTTTTTCAAGCAATTATTTACAGTTTTTGTTTCCTCTTTTGAAAATGATGCAATCAAACTTTGAAATCATTGCAATGTAATTACAAAAGACCAGCGATGAATCATGCTACTGACCTTCTGACAGAGATGATGAACTCAAGGTACAGAATAAGACATACATTTTTGAACATGGTCAACATTAGAATTTGTTTTGACTGACTACATTTCTGATACAAGGATCTTATTTCCATTTCCTTCAATTAAGGGGAGGCAGGGAGAACTGGGAGAGAAAGGAGGGTTAGTTATGGGGTTACCAAAATGAAAAAAGAAGTTAAAAAAAAAGATGGACATTTGAGCCTTCTAAAAAATACATAGAAGAGAACAGAATGAAAGTCAATAGGAAACACATACAAGCAGGGCAGCTTTGAAACTAACCTGTTAAATTGATTATATGCTTAATGAGAAAGATCAGCTGTTCATAGTATAGATTTGCAGTTATGTGTAAAAAACAAACAAAAAAAAGAAAATGATCTGTTCATATCCTTAGACCTGTGGCTTTTAAGTATTTATTCATATTTCAGATGGCAAGTTTTTATTTGTCATATTTGCCATAAGCACTTTTTCTCAATCTTTTTTTCTTTTGATTTCCATTACATTGTTTTTATTATATGGAAAAATTTCATTTTAATGCAGTTACGCACATCTATCTTGCCTTCAAAATTCCTCCTGTTAACTGTATAAAAAAACTAATCTTCCCTCAATTGTGATAAATATTTCATCTCATTTTCTTCCATCCAAATGATTATGTATTTGAAGGCTATTCTATTTCAACTTAACTTAAAAAATGTCCAAACAAGAAACTGCATATTTGGAATATTCTTTGAATTATGAGAAAATCTTCATCTTTGAGTTCAATATCCATGACAATCATCTCTCTTGGCCTGTTGAATCTTCCATTTCCTATGTTTCTTGCCTGTTGCCTGTTCTCTTCTTTCTCATAAAGCCCAAACTTTGTTTTTCCCACTTCTGACTCTATCCCTTCATTTCTACCATTCTTGATGGTTAGGGCAAGCATCTATTTTATAGCCACCACACTTCCTTCTTCCTAAAAATACAAAGAGCAAAATCTACCTCAAATCCCACTTCTTCCTGATCAAGAAGTAGCATGTAGAAGCACAATAGGCTTTACTCACACCTTCAAAAACAAAAATAAGCCTAAGAAAGTTAAATAGTTTGTAATTTTTATCCCCTATGGGAAGGCATTATGCAGATGGGCTCCCACTTGAACAAAACTGAGGGAACATAAAAATCATATTCAAATTTTGAAAAATGGAAACCTATTGCTAGAGTTTACAGAAATACTTTCAGTGCCCCTCTAGAATATACTCTCTTCGCCAAACTCTCATTCAGAGGTTGGGTCCCCTGAGAGACAACTAGCCAGATTCAAGTTACTCTTTGGGTCTGCTATCCTAAAACTATAGCTGGTGAGGCCCCACCATTGTGCTTACCTTTTGATTCAGCCAAAAGACAATTAGTCAAAGCAAAGGCATTAACTGTAACTGCAAAACATCTCCCCAATAAAACTGGGGCATACTTTCATACTACTATACCCAAAGTTAGTGGAATGAGGAACAAATAAAGTTCACAAAGGGAGAGGCACACATAAGGAACACATGTGGCCAAGGCAGCTTACACCCTTGGCACTAGAGAAGTCTCCATTGTCTTCTCATAGTGTATTTGCCCTATTCCTCTTGAGGTGAAGCATTTCTGCTGAACTCAGTTGATCAGATTTCCCTGATGAACTTCTTTCCCTTTGTCTACCTATAACATACTGCATGTATGTTGTAAAGCTAATTATGTAAAGCTCGGTATATACTGAATTTGAAGATAATAAATTGGGCACAGGGATGTACATGTTTAAAAGAGAATGTTTCTAATCCAATGGAACTTAAGAGGGAAAAAACCCATTACAATTCTTTTCTCCTTTTAAAACCAGACTTCTTAAAGCCCTTTCTGATAGAATGGTACGATTATTCTAGGAATGTTTCTATGGGCCATATTCAGGGCCATGAAAACAGTATACTTAAATAATATTCCTCTTTGTTAGCACTTATTTCCCCTCCCCCTACAAGTGTGTAATTTTATATTTGAATCAGTAACTGAATAAAGTCATAGATATTAGTGCAACTCGTAATAGATTTTAAAAATTAAGGAGACTAACATTTCTCTAATACATTTGTCAAGACTTTGTTTTATTCTGCACCTTTGAGGGAAAAGTTACCAAAGGGGAGAGGGAATCCTCTATCTGTGTACATGCAGTATGAGCTGCAATAGCCATTTGTCTTTGTTACTTGTTACTGGTTTGTTAAGGTATTTTAATATCCATTTGAATTTTTGTCTGATTAAAATGGACATAGTGGATAGAGATGCTGGACCTGGAGTCAGGAAGACTCATCTTCCTGAGTTCAAATCTGGCCTCAGATACTTATTAGCTATGTGACCCTGGGCTAGTCACTTCACCCTCTTGGCCTTGATTTCCTCATCTGTAAAATGAGCTGGAGAAGGAAATGGCAACCCACTCCAGTATCTTTGCCAAGAAAACCCTAAATGGGGTCACAAAGAGTTGGACATGACTGAAAAATAACTGAACAATAAAAATTGTACAAAATGAATGGAAATAACTCTGTTCGGTTCTTTGCTTGAAAGACGAAGAACATACAATAAAGTACAGCTTTGGCATTTGTTACACAGAATTATTTCCTATACAGTAGATTATATCTTTTTTGGGGGGGGAGTCTAGACCTATGATTTAATTATTTCACAAGCAACTGTTCTGTAATATATAGTGTTAGAGAATTGCCTAGAACATTAAGAAGTTAAATGACATGTCTAGGGACACATTATCAGTATATTTCAGAAGGGGGATCTGAACCTAGGTCATCTTAACTCTAAGGCAAGCTTTCTATCTATTTTGCAATGGAATTTTTCTAATAATAATATTTGATATTTATATTGCTTTTTAAAGTTTGCAAAGCACTTCATATACGTGCTCTCGATCAAACTAATCCTGGGAGGTGGGCACTCTGTTATTATTATCCTTATTTTACAGATAAAGAGAGGCTTAGAGAGGTTGGATGATTTGCATATAGCCATATAATTAAAGTGGTATTTATACCCAGATGTTTTCTAACTACAAGACAAAGTGTTAGTGCCACCTTTTCTGGGAAGCCTTCCTGGACCACTCTAAACTCTTGATATTTCCCTTCTCTGAGATCTCATTGTAGCATACTCTTTAATATTTTGCTAAGTCTTCCCTTGTTCTCATAGTCTATCATATGCCTTAGTCTTGTCTTCTCAACTGAATTATCAGTCTATTGAAGGCATGAAGCATGCCTTATACTTCCCTTATATTTCCCAATAACACTTAGTCCAGTTGTGTGCAAAAGACACTCAATACACACTTGTTTGGATTGTTAATACTTAGCATCCAAATTGCTTAGCCTCACTATCTATTTTTACCTAAAACAATATCAAAGAAAGACATACAAGAACCATTTTACCATAATTATTCACATCCTTCCCTCCATCCCAGGGGTACCATACCTTCTCCATCTTGGCCCAATGATCCAAAACATCTTTAGCAAAGTTGAAATACTCCGGTACCTCTATTTTGAAATCTCGTTTAACAGATTCATAGTTTGAAAAGTTCTGAGGGGCTGGTACTCTGTAATCTTTGTGGAATGCTCTCACGGACACCTTGAGGATCTTCAGCAATTGGGAGCACTGCATTCTGAGCAAAATGTTAATGGAGACAAGAGATGGTATCAGTCCAATTGAGCGACTTCGTATTTAGGACGTCTCTGATGAGGAATCTGAATCTATCTATCTGAAAAGACAAACAATGCAATCAACATTCACTGCTGGCCTGAGGACAATGAGACCCCCAAAATAGCTGTTACTGATCTGATGAATTGCTGGAGAACGAAATGGCAAACCATTCCAATGTCTTTGCTAAGAAAACCCAAATGGGGTCAATTGGACACACTGAAGTGACTTAACAACAAAAACATTCTACAATAGCTTTTACTTTCAATATGAGGAAAGGTCTGAGACTAGCTATAAAGTAATCACGGTAGTTTTCCCATGTGGATTTAAAAAACCGTTTACCAATGTTGTAAAAACTTTCAATGATAGATAACCTACAAATAAAGAATCTGAGAACAGCCCAACATGTAATTATGATTGTTATTAAGTATTTATATGTAGCTACAATTGATTATAAAGATTTTATGGTTTCATAAGCAACAAAGTAAGAATATATCTCAAGGTTTTCACATTCAGGTTAGTAACCTACACTACTTTCCAGGGCAGGCTTGGGCATGTTCATCTTTGATTGAATTTACCTGAGAGTTAATAATGATAGAGCTGTGAAACTATTCTTAAAACTCTTAAGAACTTAATAGGAAAATCCCCAAAGGAGGATTAGGTCCTTAATGATTCAGGGGGAAGAGTAGAAAGTATTTGTCACTACCCTTTTCCCAGCAATACCACTACTAGGTCTATATACCAAAGAAATCATAAAAAAAAAAAAGGTAAAGTGACCTACATGTACAAAAATATTTATAGCAGCTCTTTTTGTGGTAGCAAAGAATTGGAAATTGAGTGGATGTCAATCAATTGGGGGATGGATGAATAAGTTGTGGTATATAATTGTGATGGAATACTATTGTGCTATAAGAAATGATGAGCAGATGGATTTCAGAAAAACCTGGGAAGACTTACATGAACTGATGCAAAGTGAAGTGAGTAGAACCAGGAGAATATTGTACACACAGTGTCACCAACACTGTGTGACAATCAACTATGAATGACTTAGCTCATCTCAGCATTATGATGATCCAAGACAACTTGAAAGTACTTATAATGGAAAATGCTATCTATATCCATAGAAAGAACTGATGTAGTCTGAATGCAGATCGAAGCATACTATTTTTACTTTATTTTTTTCGTGTTTTTTTTTCTTTTGGCTTGTTTCTTTTTTTCACACCATGACTAATATGGAAGTATGTTTTACATGATTGCACATGTATAACCTGTATCATATTGCTTACTGTCTTAGGGAGGGAGGAGGCAAGGGGAGGAAGGGGAGAATTTAGGACTCAAATTTTTTTTAAAAAAAGAATGTTAAAAATTGTTCTTATAGGTAATTGGAAAAAAATATTTAAAAAGAAAAAAAAGAAATCATTTGTAACTTATTTTGCCTAAGTTGTAAATGTGACCCTAAAAAATAGAATTTTGAGTGCCTTTTAATGAATAATAGTAATCATAAAAATATTATCACAAGCATTTATATAGTGCTTTAAGGTTTGCAAAGTGTTTGGTCTATGCTGTTTCACTTGGTCTTCACAACTCTGTGACACAAGTGTTAATTAACAATGTCAGTTCATGCTTACATAGGATGTTAAGATTTATAAAGTAGTTTTCATACAACCACGGACCACTAAGTATCACAGTGGATAGAGCACTGGGCCTGGCGTCAGGAAGACCTAGTTTAAATCTGGCCTCAGACACTTACTAGCTGTATGACCCTTGGCAAGTCACTTAACCCTGTTTGCCTCAGTTTCCTCATCTATAAAATGGCCCAGAGAAGGAAATGGCAAACCACTCCAGTGTCGTTGCCAAGAAAACCCCAAATGGGGTCATGAAGAATTGGACATGGCTGAAACAGCTGAAAAACAACAACACATTTCACATAACCACTCTGTACTACATCGACTCTGGTATTTGCACAATGTTAAAAATAACCATGCAACTGGCTGTATAATAACAAGTCTAGCTAATTAACAAGTTGTTTGATTTCTTACTATAATAAATGTTTGGATATCGTGGAAACAGTATGGTAGAGTGGAAATAGCACCAACTGTGGAATCAGAGGACCTGGATTCAAATCCTGCCTCTAAGACTTTCCCACCAGTACAAGTACCAAGTTTCTTCATCTTGCACCAGACAGTTTCTAAAGTCCCTTCTAGCCCTGACCTATAATTGTGTGGGAAAAACAAAGTTTGTGACAGAAAACCAAAGTTCTAATCTTGTTTTCTTTACTGATTTTCTGAGTGGTGTAATAAATCAATGAGCCATAGGTTCTCCCAAGGTAAAATGAAGGTAATAATAATAATAATAACAGCTAGCTTTTTTGTAGCACTTTAAGGTATGCAAAGGGCTTTCCATGTGCTAACTAATTTGATCATAACAACAACAAAGGAGGTAGATGCTATAATTAATCTCCATTTTACGGATGAGGAAACTGAGGTAAACAGAAGTTAATGACTTGCCCAGCATCACTCAGTTAGGGAGTATCTGAGGCAGGATCCAAACTTGGGTTTTCATGATTTCAAGTCCTTCGTTTTATGAAAACATAGAAATTAATATTACCTTAATATTTTTACTGTGTTGATTTTACAATGTAATTGATTTTATGTTTATTGATTTTTATAGTGGTGAGCATCTGCCTGAACTCACCCTGCTCAAAAATACAATCTTTCCCAGGCAGAACTGGTGTAAAGATGTGGGTGAAAAGGAGCGTTGCTATAAGTCTTGCAACTAGCCCTTGGGACATGTTTGCTAACCAGTTTAACCTGGGACTTCAGTTTGTTTTCATTAAACATCAACTAGTTTAAGCTGGAGTCCCTCCAAGCTATCGGGGGTGGTTTGATCTCCCCCAAGGGAACCACTAAGTGGATGGTTCAGATGTTCTAGCCAAGAGGTCTTCAACGCCCATAAAACAATGAATATTCCCTAATTGATAGAGAGCAGTGTGATCAGCCTCACCAGGCCAGTCCACTTTCCCTAGATGTAGTCATTCATAAGATCTAAGCCCCTCCCTTCCTACTTCCTTTCTCCTCAGGTAGCTGACCGTATGAGAGGGCCAGAATGACCCACTTTGTTAATAGTTACATGCATTATTGTTAATAAACCAATTCTGCTTGGAGAAACATACCTCAGTTTCCCCTTGTTTCATTTTACTTGCCACAGTTCCATGCCACCTGGTTGCCTGGACATATTAATACTGTATAACTGGTTGTTGTTATTCAGTCATTTCAATCATGTCTGACTCTTCATGATCCCATTTGGGGTTTTCTTGGCAAAAATACTGGAGTGGTTTGTCATTTCTTTCTCCAACTCATTTTACAGATGAGGAAACTGAGGCAAACAGGGTAAAGTGACTCACCCAAGGTCACACAGCTAGTAAGTATCTGAGGCAGGATTTCAGGGCTGGAGCTCTATCTACTGTGCCACTAATTGGAGGTTCATGATAATGCTGCCATCAATTCTCTTCTTTGGGATCATCTTGAAGATAAGAGCATATTATAAAAATGTCATGTTGTTGTTGAAAAGGGGGCAGTAGGCCAAATAAGTGTGGGAACCTCTGTTCTAAAGCATAGGTCAAACTATGTCACTACCCTCCTTCACAAATTATAGTAATTCGTTACCTCTAGGATCAATTGTTAACTCCCCTGTTTGCCATTTAATGCCCTTTACAACCTAGTCTGAAGCCACCCTTCCAGCCTTATTACACATTATTCCTCTTCACACACACATTGGTCCAGCCTTTGTGGTGTCATACTCAACTCCAACTCCTCTCTCTGAATCTTTGTACTGAAGGCAGCCAGGTGGCTCTCAGGTGATAGAGCACTGGGCCTGGAGTCAGGAAGACCTGAGGCTGGATTTACTAACTGTATGACCCTGGGCAAACCATTTAACCTCTGTTTGCCTTAATCTACTGGAGAAGGAAATGGCAAATCACTCCAGTATCCCCCATATGGGGATGTGACTGAAACAACCTAACAACAAAAACAATGGATACTAAATAAAGTTAAAAACAAACAACACACAGAGTAGCTAAACTCCAGTTAACTTGGGAGGGGAGTGCACTAGCAGTTGGGAGGGAGTCAGGAAAGATGTCATGGAGAGATGGTGCTTAAGCTTCATCTTGATGATAGAGATGAGGCTCTATTAGGGGAAGGTAAGAAGGGAGTATATTCGAGGCAAGTCCAATCAGTTGCTTAGTCCTATTTATTCTACCCTTGCCAACATATCTTACATTAATCTCCTCCTTTTCATTTTTATTGCCATTATCTTAATGTAGGTGCTGGCTTCTTGCCTGTACTACTGCAAGAGTCGCCAAACTAGTAACATGGCTTACAGTTTCTTCCCCCGACAATCCAATTTTATATATCACGTGCATCTTAATCTTATCTATTTAGGGATCTGATCATGACATTCCACCAATTAAACCCTTTCATGGCCTTCTTAATAAAGCCCAAATTCCTTAGCTTGGAATCCAAGGTTTCCACAATTAAGGTTCAATCTTCTCTTATCCTACCATCCTGTACGTTCTTCTCTGAAATATAGTCCAGTGGTCTCCAAAGTGGCGGGCTGTGGTTTGACATGTAAAGATAACCCAACTGGATGGTAAGAGAGGTCACATTCAGGGTTGTTCTGGAGCCAGCTTGGACCTACTTGTGAGATAACTGTTAAATGTTCAGTGTCAGCATTTTATACCTCATACTACAAATCCAGGAGGTAAAAAGGGAGAGTATTCCAGGTAAGTCCAATCAGTTGCTTGATTTATTTTTTTTTGTTGATTGTCTGAACTTTAAAAAATGTTAATAAGATAAACTTCTTTTCCCCCCAGAGAGCTGGTTGTTAAACATTTACCAGTATATCACTGCTCATCCCACAATCTCCTCGATAGCCAACTGCAGGGCTTATCTCTAACACAACCCTATTACCCCTTCACCCATCATGGCCTGACACTTGCCCACTTGAGTCCCTCCTGCTGCTGGCCTCCTGTGGCTGGGCAAGCTCCCAGCATCTCTCATGCTCTACTAGACTCTTTAGGTGATGACCACCTTAACTTGGACACCTACAGTCAATTCACTCCCCTCCCAAGCACACCTACATCCTGTCACCCAGATTACTTCCTGGCTAAAGTAGGTACCCCTCACCAGGGCAGTAGTCAGTGAGTAACAGTGCCACCCCTTCCTTTTAATTTTAGGTGGGATAAGTGAATTGCACAGGGTGGGCAGGAGAGGATGGGTTTCAATCTGTACTGCTGAACTCATTATATTATCTTTCCCCCAAAATCTATCCCTGTCATGAACTCCTCCATTTTTACATAGGCCACCATCATCCTTCCAGTCACCCAGGGTCAAAAACTTGATTTCAATCAGGACTCATAATACATTCAGTCAGTTGCCCAATCTTGTCATTGCTACCTCCACAATACTCTTACATCTGTCCTCTTCTCTCTGCTTACATGGCCTAGTTCAGATTCTCATCATCTTTTACCTAGTCTACTGAAATGGCCTCTTAATTGATCTTGCCTAAAGCCTCTTCTCAGTCCAAACTGCTGACAAAGTGATTTTCCTATCACCACCACCCCACCAAATGTCTCTTCAAGTCATTCTTAACCTTTTTTTGTATCATAGACCACTTTAGTGGTCTGGTGAAAACTATGAATCCCTCTCAGGCTAATGTTTTCAAACGCATAAAATACATAGGATTACAGAGGAAAACAATTATTCTGAGATAGTTATTAAAATATTTTTAAAAATCACAGACCCCAAGTTAAGAACACCTAATGATTCTAGGATCAAATATTACTATTTTTTAGAATCTAATCCTTTTTAAATTTCTATTTTTATGTAAGACAGTACATAGAAATCATTAGTACAGTGACATACACACACACATAAGTTACAAATTAAACAATCTAGTTAACTAGACCACTGTCTTCCATAACTATTTCTCTTTGCTTACATTCCATTCATTTAGAATGCCTCTGCTCCTATATCCCCAAAGACAAGCCTTTTGAAACACTACCCACCTTTCAGGATTCTGTTCATATGCCACCTCCTTACTGAAAACCTTCCTCAATCCTTCCGGTTGGAAATGACCTTTACTTCAGCAGATTTAAATGGCTTGTGCAATTCTTATGTAACACCCTCATACAGGTGTTGAGAAAGCACAACTTTATTAAACTGTAAAGAAATATTTAATTCAACAACAAGCACATCTACTTTCCACCTGCTTTGTTACAGTACTACACTACAAATTACAGTTATCTGAGGACATGTTTTATTTCCAACTAAATTAATTTCTTTGAAGTAGATGGGTGGGAAATTATTTTATTTAGTCTTTGTATTGCCCTCAGAAATAATAAAGAAAGCATCTGCCTTGAAGTCTGGAAGACCTACGTTCAAGTCTTGGCTCTTATATAGGCAGGTTCTGTACCCCTGGGTAAGTCACTTAACTTTTCAGTGCTCTCCAAGCAACCCCCTAAAACTCATGCTCTGCCTTGGTAGAGGGAATTTCCTCAGTGGGAATCCGCTATACCAATGAAGTCGCAGGTCCAGCCTCTCCCTTCTCCCCAATCTCTGGAAATGCCTAGAATGTTAGTTTGAATGTAGTAGGAGCTTAATAAATGTTTGTTGAATGTTGAGTGTTTTGGGGCCATGTGAGAAGGTAATGGGAAACACAGATATTTGGTGGAAGGATGATTCAGACAGTTTTCCATTCTATTAATGAAAGCACCTCAATGCATTTTCAGCCTTCATCGCAATGCTCTGATTCTACATAGCAAAAAATATGTAAAAGATCTGTGATTTTGTCACAGGGAATTCCTTCTACCCAGGAAGATAACAGGATTGCTAGGAACCCTTCCAGCTCTAAGTCTCTGACCCCAATTTTATATGATTTAGTATCAGTCAATTCACAAGCATTTATGAAAAGTATATTAAATGTCAGGCACTGTGCTAGCCACAAGGAATACTATACAAAAGCAAGACATACCCTTCAAAGGGCTTACATTCTGTTAAGAGTGCAAATAGTAAATTAAAAAAATGAATACAGGGGCAGGTAGATAGCCAGTGGATAGAGCACTGGCTCTGAAGTCAGGAGGACCTGAGTTCAAATGTGGCCTCAGGTCAAACACTTGATACTTACTAGCTGTGTGACCCTGGGCAAGTCACTTAACCCCAACTGCCTAGCAAAAAGAAAAAAAAAATACAAAGTGATTTCAGAGGCCAGGAGCAACTAATGTGGAAAAGTCAGGTGAGACCTCCAAAAGGAGATGGCACTTAGGCTGAGCTTTGGAGGAAGCTCAGGGTTCACAAGGCAGAGATAATGAAAGAGCATTCCAGGACTGGAGGAGAACAGTGTGCAAAACTATGAAGGTGTGAAATGTAATGATCAGTTTGCTGTAGCACTGAGTATTCAAAGGAGAGTAATTTATAACCAGCCTAACTGGCTGAAGCCAGATTTAAAGGGCTTTAAATAAATGCCTGAGGAGGGAAGCTATGGTAGAGAAAGCACTGGGCTTGGAATCAGGAAGACTCATTTTCCACAGTTCAAATCCAGTCTCAAACACTTACTAGCTGTGTGACCCTAGGCAAATCACCTAATCCTGATTGCCTCAGTTTCCTTATCTGTAAAATGAGCTGGAGAACGAAATGGCAAACCACTCCTGAGGAGTTTATATTTTATTCTAGAGGAAACAGGGAACCACTGCTGTTTCTTGAGCAGGGGGACAACGAAGTATGACCTGTGCTGGTGGGGCTGCCTGAGGTACATAATTGCGCTCCACAATTTGGGGCGAGGGGACCTGATAACCTATTCCTCAGTCAGGAAGGAATAGGTTCATTAGGCGGTTCATTACCAACCACCACACAAGTGTCAACTTCTCTGGTCCAGAAAATGAGAGGGGGTTGGATCAAAGGACCTCTCAGATCCCTTCCAGCTCCACAACCATAAAGGTTACAAAACCAGTCACATGGCAGAGCCAGCAGTGGAATCCAAGGCTTTTGTTTCTCAGGGTTGTCTCCCCGCTGGAGCTGCAAGAAATGGGAAGTGGGATGGCTTGAGCATCATTTCCCTGAGGTGAGAAGGAAGTGGGACGGTTTAACCACAAGCAGTGAGCGAAAACGACCTTCTTCCTGGTAAGGGAATGATCACTAAGTCCAGCTTCACGAGCACCGGTCACGCCCTACCCCCTCACCCCTCCCACCCCCTCAACTCCCCATTACCCCCCCACCCCACCCCACCCCACCCCACCCCGTCACACCTGGAAAGGGTAGGACAAAGAACAAATCCCAAAGGTACAGAGGAGAGTGTAAGGAACCTCACTATCCAATCAAACAGCCGAACTCTGCCTGTTGTGAACACCTAGCCCCGCCCCCAAATTCTTCCTTGGCCAACCAGGCTGGGTTCTTTCGCCCGCACTCCACGAGGGGGGAGGGGGACGGGAATTGGAAGGAAGTATTAGCGCAAGATTTTGGCGTCATAATCCCGCGCCCCCGCCCCACGGAGGAAGCACGTGGTTTGGAACTGCTGCCGCGTGCTTTCCTCCTTTCCTGCCCCGCACAGCCCCTCTGGCCAACGCCCCCCCCGTTCTTCATGATGGCCGCATCCGGGGAGCAGCCCCCACAAGCGGGCGGGGTGAAGCGAAGAGGAAAGGCCCAGTACGTGCAGGCCAAGAGGGCCCGGCGCGGGGGTGGCGGCGGCCCGAGGCAGCTTGAGCCCGGCCTTCAGGGCATCCTCATTACCTGCAACATGAATGAGCGCAAGTGCGTGGAGGAGGCCTACAGCCTCCTCAACGAGTACGGGGACGACTTGTATGGGCCTGAGAAGGTGAGGGGTGGGGTGGGGTGGGGTGGGGGCGGGGTCTGAGACTGAGCTCGTCCTCCCAGAGGCCTGGGGTCTAGCTTGCCTGGAAAGCTTGGGTGAGGCCGCGGATCCAGCCTGGATCCTGCCTTCCCCCGGACCCCCAACCCCAGTGGGGGCAGCCCGAGCTGGAGATGGGGCGTGGCCGCCACCTCGCTCGCCCGGCCCGTGTTTTCCCTTTGAGCCTTCTTTCTTACAGCACGCACCTGCGGTGATACCTGAAATATGTTTTTAAACCAACAAAAATTGCTAGCATATGTGGTGTTTAAAGTTTGCAATGCTCCATGTACATATATACACACGTGGGGCGTTCAGAAGTTTTAGTGTATATGTATTTATGTATATATACACGTACAAGTGTTCCAAAAGTTTTAGTTTACTTGTATGTATACTCGTGTGTGTGTGTGTGTGTGTGTGTATGTATATACAGGTGTTCTGAAAGAATTCATTTACTTGTATAGGTGTATATGTATATATACATATGTACAGGTGTTCCAAAAATTTTAGTGTACTTGCATGTGTGTATATATACACATGTAAGGGTTTTTTTAATCATAGCATGTATATACACATATGTACAGGGTATTTTAAAGTCTTAGTGTACATGCATATGTGTACACATGTGTAAGGGGTGTTCAAAAACCCTAGTGTATATGTATACATATATATGGGGTATTAAAAAAACTTAGTGCACTTGTACGTATATGTGTATGTGCATATGTACACAAATGCAGTATACAGGGTGTTCCAAAAGTGTTAATGTACTTGCATGTATGTACGTATATATACACATATATACAGTATTTACCAAAAGTTTAGTTTACTTATATGTGTATGCATGTACTTATGTGGGCATACATGTATCTAGTGTTAAAGTCTTAGTGTACATGTACATGTGTATATACATCCACAGATGTACAGTGTTCCAAAAGTCTTAGTATACTTGTATGTGAGTATATTTCTATGTCCACATATATATGAGATGTTCCAAAAGTCTTAGTGTATGTGTACATATATATGTGGTATTCTGAAAGTCTTAGCATATTTATATGTGGGTTTATGTGTATCTGCACATATATAAATTTGTATGTATCTGCATATATACATGTATGCATACATTTATATGTGTGCATATATACACATGTGTAAATACATATATAGGATGTTCAGTCTTGTGTACATATGTCTATACATGCATGTAGTGTTCCAAAGCTGTAGCATACATATATGTGCACATGTGTGCACAACATACATGCAAATGTACAGGATGTTCCAAAAGTCTTACTGTGTATATTGTTGTTGTGTTGTGGGGCAGCTAGGTGGTGCATTGGATAGCGCACAGGGCCTGGAGTTGGGAAGATCTGAGTTCAAATCTGGCCTCAGACACTTAACTACCTGTGACACTAAGTCATTTAGCTTATGTTTGCCTCAGTTTTCTCAACTGTATAATGGGGATAATATTAGAATATGCCTCTCAGAGTTGTTGTGAGGATTCAATGAGATAATACTTATAAAAAGTGCTTAGTACAGTGCCTGGCACTGTTTGTTCATTTCGGTTATGTCCCCCATTTGGGGTTTCCATGGTAAAGAAAATGGAGTGCTTTTGCCATTTTCTTCTTTAGCCCATCTTACAGATGAGGAAATTGAGGCAAAGAGGTTGAAATGATTCATCCAGCTCACATAGCTAGTGTCTGAGGCTGGATTTAAACTCATCTCTTCTGAGTACAGGCCTGGTGCTCTATCTATTGTGCCACCTAACTGCCTGGCTACTAATGCTTTAAGCTACGCTGGCTGTTGTGACATTGTGTGTGAAGGAAAAGAGGATTCTGGAATAAGGTATAGTGTGTGTATGTATATATGTATATATACACACACACACATATATATAAATATGGCAAATAATATGGTATACACATATTTCAAGTTCTTCTTTCTTCTGTTTTCATATGTATGTGTACATATGTGTATATAACACATATCCATACGTGCATCTATGCCCTAGAGCAAGTAACTGTTCCATTGTTGAGGAGTAGGTAGCTTCTTTATCCCAGGACCTTTGGCCTTCCCCTTCTGTTCTTCTCAGGAGGCTGAAGGCTCAGGATGGGCCTTGAACCTTCCTGACCAGCCCCATCCCTTGAAAGACAATGCCAGGATCTCACGATTGAGAGCTTCACAGGACCTTAGGGATCATTTAGGCACAACTCATGAATTTTAAAGATGAAGAAACTGAGGGCCAGAGAAAGGTAGTGACTTGTCCAAGGACTGTATAAAGGGGTCCCTAAACCCAGATAGAGTTTTTCATGCTGCAAAATGAAGTTTTGGCTCCACTTGGGCTGGTAATAACAGATCCAGACTTGGAAAGTTCCAGGTGATTGGGGGGGGGTGTCTTAACCTGGGGTCCATGGATGGATTTCAGGGATCCTGTGAACTTGACTTTTTAAAAAATCTGCATCTTTATTTTTCACTAATCTCAAATTAAAATTTGGCATTTCCTTCGATTATGAATGTAAGCAACAAAACCGTTATTCTGAGAAGGTGTCCATATACTTCATCAGGTGGCCAAAGGGGTCTATGACACAAAAAAAAGTCAAATGCCTACTGAAGGGGATTCTGTATATTTCTAACATAGCAGAAGATCATTGAATCTAAAGTTGGGTGAGACTTTAGAGGTCAGAGTCCATTTTACAGTTGAATCTGAAGACCACCCAGAAGGGAAAGTGACTTGACCAACATCACTCATGGAGTAACTAGCTTAATTGAGAGCCAGGCATGGCTTCACCTACTGGGGGATTCCCAGTAGGTACCCAGACCCCCTTGGCAGTTTCACTGTTAGAGAATGCTATAAATAGTTGTTCTAACTTTCTTTTTAAGAGGTTAAATTAACTGCTAAAGCCCTAGAACATCTACTTTTAAAAAAAGAAAACAGGGCCCTGAAATGGTATATTTATTTTGTGAGAGGGAGCACACATGTCCTGGTAAAATAAAATTCAGTGAATATAAAATATTTGAAATTTTGAGGGAAAAGTATTACATAAAGTAGGGATGTATTCTGCAGTTGAGAGGGTGGGGCAGACAATATATTAAGTCTCTGCTTCCCAAAAGTAGAATTCTTCATACCAGCAATAAAAATTTTGTTGCAGGCCGTTTACTGTACACTACCCAGGATTTTCTGTGCTTATTTAATTACTGCTTTTAAATCTGGGCTGGTACCTTTATTTAAGCTTTTCAACTTAATGCAAACAGTTTGTAGACAAAGATAAGCAGCCATCTGGAAGTGAGGAGGAAGAGGAAGATGATGCAGAAGCCGCCTTGAAGAAAGAAGTCAGTGAGATTCAGGCCTCTACAGAATTGAGATTAAGACGATTCCAGTCATTGGAAAGTGGAGCAAATAATGTGGTCTTCATCAGAACACTTGGCATAGGTATGTGAGCCTTAGACTTCTTAATGTAACAAATTTACATGAGTTCATGATATTGGCCTGCATATCCCTGCCTCAAAGTGAATGACTCCATGACTTGAATATGATGACTTGGCTAATGATGTGAACATGTCATCTTTCTAGATTTTTATTTTTCTGAAGAAAAGTTTGTATTATAAATGGGTAATATTTTACCAGATGACACTATGGCAGTGGAATAATGTGATAATACTGGTGGATGATACAGATCTCCATAAACATAGAAATGTTTACCAGCATATAAAATTTTTTCTGGCTTTCCTGTTAGTCCATGTTTTCACCAAAATAGTTGCAGTGATCTAGAGAAGTAATGTATTTCTTAGTATTTTATCTAAAATCCTCTTAAACTTTGAAGGCTCTGTTAAATTACCTTATTGAATTAAAAAAGGAAAAATTAAGATGTTTTAGAGAAAATTTCTGAAATACATAAAAATTTGCTTTTTTTTCCGTAATAATTTTTTTTTCTTTTCTCTGTGAAGAACCTGAGAAACTTGTACATCATATCCTAAAGGATATGTACACAACCAAAAAGAAGAAAACACGAGTTATTCTGCGCATGTTGCCCATATCTGGCACATGCAAAGCTTTCTTAGAAGATATGAAAAAATATGCTGAAACCTTCTTGGAACCTTGGTTTAAAGCACCAAATAAAGGGACATTCCAAATTATTTACAAAGCGCGAAATAATAGTCACATGAGCAGAGAAGAAGTTATTAAAGAGCTAGCAGGTATGTTTCAGGTAACATGGAGGTGTGATACAGCTGTGGAGTATTAAGGTGCTTTGGAAAGAGGTTTGGAGTTGAGCTGGGTTTCAGTCCCAGGTCTGCTAGTTCTTTTTAACCTTGGGCAAGATGTATAGCCTCTTTGGGTCTGTTTCCTCATCTGGATAAGATGGACGAGATGTCTTATACAGTCTCTTACAAATCTACAATTCTGTTATAAGAATCTATGATAATTGGTCACATTATTCTCAAGATCTGAGGTATTTTCCCCCTTAGAATTAAAGCTTTTGCATATTGAACTAAGTGCTCATTGGATCAAAGATTTAGAGGTGGAGGAGACCTAAGAGTTCATGGAGACCGGCTCCCTTATTTTAGAGATAGTTTTGGGAAACAAAACCCAACCTCAGGAACCTGAGGCTCAGTGACTTGTCCAGGGTCAGCCACATAACTGGTAGTCATTTCCAAGGTGGGATTCAAACCCAGGTATTCTAATTGCAAGTCCAGTGCTTGTGTCCACCATATCAGGCTGATTCTCTAGTAAATCTATTAAGACGTTTTTAAAATACATTGTAATAATCCTCACATTTCTGGTTTTAAAGAAGTTGTGTTCACTATAGCAGGTATGCTTTTTCTGGGTTACTGAGGTGAACTTTTTCAAAGTTGAGAGAAAGTTACATCAACAGGTATCATAACACCTCATCCTAATTGTTTTGCAGATCTGCAATGATTTTTAAGTTTTATTTGAATTTGTTATTCCAACAAACTAGAAATACGAAAAGAAGGGGGTGGGGTGGGTACATGCTTAAGCCTGTCATATTCACAGCCTAAGTAGTTTGTTTATCTCTTTCTGTTGCAGGCATAGTGGGCTGTCTCAATCCTGAAAATAAGGTCGATCTTAGTAATCCCCAGTATACCATTGTGGTAGAAATCATTAAGGCTGTCTGTTGCCTGAGTGTTGTCAAAGATTACTTGTTGTTCAGAAAATACAACCTTCAGGAAGTGGTCAAGATTAACAAAGAGGGGTCTCAACCAAACCCTGGCCAGGATGCACAAGTAAGAAATGGAAACAAGGCAAAACTGGAATTTGGAAACACAGACAAGGAGAATCTCAAGTCAAACGAAAGTGACTCTGCAGAAGAAAAAAATAATCCCTTGGTGATGGTAGAGGGTAGTAAAGAGGAGGGGCTGCTTTCTGAGACCCAGGTGGAAAGTGAAAAAGGAGACAAATCTGAAAATGGAAGCCAAGTTATGGAAGGTTCAAAATCAAATGAAAGCAACCTGGTCTCGGAGAAAAATTAATCAGTTGAGGCAAGGAGTAGTAAGAGAAGAGGCATATTCCAAAGATGGGCACAAAATAAGCTATCGAAGTTGAAAATGTTATTACATAATGAAACTTGCCCTGGAGGTGAGTTTAATCAAAAAGTTTTCAAAGTTGTGGAAGTATTAGAAATACAATACCGTATTTCACTAGTGGACAGAATAGTGTGGTCATCCTCCTCATAGGGAGTGATTAATTGGTTAAAATTCTTATTTACCCCCAAAAGCATTTTTTCATCATCCAGTCTGGAAATAGCTTGGGGACAACATCCTAAAATTCCTAAACGAGAATAGGATTTTAGTTTTTGGACCACTGTTTAAAGACAGGAAGGTTAAATGTGTTAGAACTTTTCATGTATGAACAAGGTTTAACTTAGAAGTTGTTAGATTCTTAGAACATCTGCTTTTTCTGGATTTGTGTGGAATGACTTGAAGGAACAATTTATGCACATTATTAACAGTATAACTTAGGGAAATAGGGGGAAAATGCTTTTTATATAAAGTTCCAGCTGATGCCCAGATTCAAGGAAGAAGGTAACTTTAATGGTGTAGAAGCACCAGACTCAGGATCCCTTGGAACTTAAAGATATCTGAGCACATAAAGACAGCCACATCCATCTAGAGTGTACTTTGACTCTTATATGTTGCCACAGAGTTGAGTCTCCTTTACGTTTTAATTTTGAGAGCTCCTCTAGAAAGATAATTTTTTTTTTTTCATTTTCAGGAGTCTTAGATCTTTCATATTTATTTCTGTGGTTTTGGTACTATCTGAATGTGACATTTTTCATAAGCAACTCTTCCCCAAGTTAGTCATTGGTACTGCATCAAGCTTTGGGATAAACATTTTAAGGTTTGTTTTCAGTTTTATAAACTGTTTGCTCACAATGACATTTCACTTTTAAATGTCAAAATTCCATGGTGCAAAATTGATACGCTCAGATTATCTTACCATGTAGAGAAGAGGGTAAACTGTGTGTCTTCAGGTAATGTTTCATTAATACTAATGTAACTATAATTTTAAATGTGCTCAGGGCACAATTCTTTTCCTTACTATTTTGGTTAAATACTTGACTGTAACCCATAGCAAGATAATTTTGTTTTTCATTGATACTTTTTCAGAAATGCAGAAGTAAATTTCTCATACAGAAACCAATGTTTAATCTGTTGGGGTTTTTTTGTTTGTTTTTGAGGAGATGGGAGTGTGGCATATGGGAAGGGGGTATAGCATGGGCTAGGAGCACTTAGGTGGTGTTGAGTCCCCTTTACATTTTAATTTTGAGAGCACCTCTAGAAAGATAATTTTTTTTTTCATTTACAGGAGTCTTAGATCTTCCATATTTATTTCTGTGGTTTTGGTACTATCTGAATGTGACATTTTTCATAAGCAGCTCTTCCCCAAGTTAGTCGTTGGTACTGCATCAAGCTTTGGGATAAACATTTTAAGTGATGGTAGAGGGTAGTAAAGAGGAGGGGCTGCTTTCTGAGACCCAGGTGGAAAGCAAAAAAGGAGACAAATCTGAAAATGGAAGCCAAGTTATGGAAGGTTCAAAATCAAATGAAAGCAACCTGGTCTCGGAGAAAAATTAATCAGTTGAGGCAAGAGCATAGAGCATTGGGCCTGGAGTCAGGAAGATCTGAGTTCAAATCCAGCCTCAGACACTTACTAGCTCTGATTTTGGGCAAGTCACTTAACCCCTGTTTGTCTCAGTTCCTCATCTGTAAAATGGGGACACACTGGAGAAGGAAATGGCAAACCACTTCATATCTTTGCCAAGAAAACCCCATAGAGTCACAAAGAAGCAGACACGACTGAATGACTCAACAACAACAAAGAGCATGGGCTCTTAGAATAAATATAAATATATACAAAACCAGGGCCTTCCTCATTTTAATGTGACAGTGATCTTTGGTTCTTAAAGGCTGTACTCATAGAATATAAGTGAAGGTAGGTCTTATCAAGCTGCACAGGCTTTTGAGTATGGACCCAGCAGTGGCCCGAGGTCTGTAGACCAGCCTACTGAAGTGTGAAAATGTGGCTGTAAGGGTAATTCATTTTTTCAGCTGTAGCAACCTCCAAGGATGATCTAGTAAATCATAGAAAAGTTAATGATCTTTGTCAGGTGATAGAGTATTTCTCCCCCTATCCCCCAAGGAAATCACAAATTCTTGAAATAGATATGAAACTGTGTGGAAAGTTAATCACTACATAAAAAGGATTAAGTGGAGAGTTCCTTTTATAAAGCCAAGAATATTTAAAAAACAAAGTTAATCACCCCTAACCTGTTTTGTAAATAGGGATATTTTAGTTAATTTTCTTTAAATCAAAATGTTCTTGAAATTATATTACAAGCTATGAAAGTGAAACTAGGAGAAAAATGTAGCCAGTAACTATGATAATTTTGATGAAAACAGTACTTAAAAGGTAGCTGAATTCAGATTAGGTGGAATGACCAGTATTGGTTATGGAGTACAGATGGTCCCTTTCCTGAGGAGTATAGGGGTAGGGGGACTGTGGTCATACGGTTGCTATGTCTATTGGTTTTGATTATTTGGTGTAAAATATAAAAGGCATCAGGAAATCATGTTTTTTAAAGCTTGCTAAATCCATTTTTTGGAACTATTGAGCTTCTAAAACTTGGATTAGATGCTTTGCCAATTTAAAAAATAAACCTAACCAAATATAATATATAAAGAATGGAAAGATGTAGTTTTTCTCCGTGAAACATTAACTTCTGAAGTTCTTAGCAGTTTTTTTTTAGCCAGTAAGATACAAGACAGTTGAAATACAGTTTCAATTTTTGGCTCTACAGGCTAAAATATTCCCAAATTTTTTGGACTATCTTAGAGCTTAAAAAAATATATATATAAGGAAAGTAAGGATTTAACATTTTGGTTTTTACTGTGAGTTGATAGTAACTAGTCAAGATTAGCAGAAAGCAAAGGTAAAAGCAGACAGAAGAACTCTGTGTAAGTTCTTAAGTAGTGTCTCGGTGTTCTGGTCAGGCTAAGCCCGTCCCCACTCTTGGTCCCTTAGCACATTTCGCTTTATTTTCCCAGTGATTGTCTTTGGGAGTTCTTGAACAAATTCCACCTAGCAAAGAGAAGCATACCACAGAACCATTAGTAGTATCTTTTCCATGACCCTGCTTGATTCATAAGATCTATTACTCCAAAATATACCAGTTTCTCTGATTCATGGGCTTTAAGACTTGAAAGACCATCAGCATTAGGTGTTCTTAACCTTGGGTCTATAAAATTTTTATGTTTTGAAAACTTTAAGTTTCTTTTGTATTCCAGTATATTTTATTCATTTAAAAACATTATCCTGAGAAGAGGCCCATAGTAGGCTTCAGCAGGCATCCTCAGGGTTCCAAGACACAAAGAAGGTGAAGAAGCTTTGATCTAGTCCAGCCCCTCTCCAATACAGTTGAGGAAATAGTCTGAGAGAGGAGAAGTGACTTATTAGTTCACACAGGTGCCTGGTAGCATGAAGCAAAATTAGTGGGCAGTAGGATAAGTATAGGTGGGTGGTGGGATGGGGGAGTCATGCAGAGAGAAGGTACAGTTAAACTCCCCTACACTTCCTGGAGACTAGGAGCTCTATTGTGCTAACCAATTGAGTATTGCTTTTTCCTAGGCACGAAGAGTTATCTTTATAAGCAGTATCTATGTGACACCAGAGTAGTGATTGATTGGTGAGTTGTAATTGGGGGGGCGGGGGGAGCCAAACTGGTGGATGGATTGAATTGACTAATTGTTTCCATATATCAGTCTATTCAGCCAAGGTCTTATGTCCTGGGAGAGAGAGTCAGTGAATACTAATCATAGAGTATTGAAACCCTCAAGGGGCCATAGGGTGATTTAATCTCTATTTCTAGGCAGAACTACCCTTCCTAAATCATTTTAAAAAAGTAACTTTCTATTTCATAAGATCCTCCACAAAAGATTCCAGTCTTTGTTTTATAATATAGCATTATTGCTTGTAACCCTTAAAGTCTGGGAAAGTTCTTTGACACATTTGTTACAGTTAGAGTTTAGGAACTAAATTAGAGGTTCTGTGCCAATGTCTTCAAGCAAATCACACGTGTTTTCTATGTTTCAGTTTTGTCATTTGTGAAAAAATTCTGTCATTACGAAATGAGTTACTACTATATATTTGAATACTTTACCAAACTTACATTTTGCTAGTCAACAAATAAAGACTTATAGTGAAAGTAATTTCTGCAAGACATTTTTCAAAAGGAACTTCTAGTTAAGGTACTACATACATGAAACAATCAGGAACCTCTTATTAGTAAGTTTTCTACTATATGAGGGGCACGATAAGCAGGATAACTAGCAATAATAAGAATAGCTAGCATTTATATAGCACTTTTAAGTGCTATTTGCAAAAATTTCATTTTATACAACCACGCTGAGAAGTAGTTGCTATTATATGTTATTACAAATAGGGAAACTGAGGCAAATTAAGTGACTTATTGAGGGTCACAGCTGGTAAGGATCTGAGGCTGGATTTGAACTCAGATCTTAAGGGCTTCAGGTCCATTACTCTAGCCACTATACCACCTAGCTGCCTCTTCAGATACATTTCTTCAGAGGTGTCTCTCCTAATAATATAAGTAAAGATAGGTTGGGTGAGCTAGGGGCCTTGTCAACTAAGACCTTTTTAGAGTCTCATTGTCATTGGACCCTTTTAAAGAGTATCAGTCTGCTATGATTTTATTAGTCTTAGGCATCACCTTATTAAATGCATGACAAGAATGTAAATGAAAAGAACAAGAATACAACCTGAATGCTATTCAGTTTTAATGATCCATCTTGGCTCTAGAAAAGAACTAAGAAAATACACCTTGCTCCTTTCTTTGCAGAGGTGGGGGATTATGAATGTACAATATGCTGTCAGATTTGGTAGATGTCTGTCAGTTTTGCTGAATTACTTCTTGTTGTTTTTCATTCTTTGTTACCAAGAATGGCTCTCTCTGTCTCCGTCTCTCTCTCTCTCTTTAGGAGAAGGGGAAAAAGCATTTATATAGTGCCTACTATAGGTCAGGTGCTCTATAAATATCTAATTTGATCTTCACAACAAACCCTGGGAGATAGGCTCTGTTATTATCCCCATATTACAGTTGGGAAAACAGGTCAGGCCCAGGCCCAGGATCACATAGCTAGTAAGTATCAGGCTAGATTTGAACTCAGGTCTTCCAGACTTCAGGCCCTGTACTCTATTCAGTGTACCACCTAGCTGCTGCTTTTAAGTAGAGGAGGGTTAGGAGGGATATATTTGGAAGTAAATTTTTAAAAAAAGATCAATAGGGTGGGACAGCTGGAGCAGCACCTAATTAGATGAAGGTGCTGTTTTCTTTCAAATTCTCCTTTTAAGGAAAAATTATGAAAATGACAAACATCAACCAACCTTAACTTCACATTTACAAAGAACTGTGAATATCTATTACATACTCTTTTTTTTTCCCCCCAAGTAAATACAAATGTTAACACAGTACTCATTTTATTTTTAAGTACTTGCCTTCCTGGGATATTTGTAGGGTGCAGTTAATTTTTTCACATGATTCTGAAGCTCGAGAGCCAGTGTCTCTGTATTGGCAGATTTAAAGGGCGCAGATAGAACCACAAAAGCTTTCACCACCTGCAGGAAGAAAAATCCGAATCTCTCTGTTACAGTGGTTTTCTTTTTTTTTTTATTAATTTATTTTGATTTATCAAAAATAACTTCCATAAGCTTTTGAGTTTAAAATATTTCTCCCCCTTCCTCCCCACCATCCTCCCCAAGACGGCACACAATCTACAGTGGTTTTCAAACTACATCAAAGAATAGCCCCATTCTAGAAAAAGGACTTTTTTTTTTTTTTCATTTAGAAACCATAGTTAAGGTAGAGGTCCCAGCCAAACATCTTCGACTTCTTCAGCCTACCACTCGGAACTTTATGATAGAAACTTTGAGAGAACCTTGTTTCTGAAGTCAGATCGAGGAGTGTCAGGGAAGCAAACCCCAGGGCTAGGTTCCTAGGCAGCACTGACCTCTGTATGCGCTGGATTCCTGAACGCGGTAATAAGTCACCGTTTATATTATACTGTAAGCTTTATTAAGCAGTTCTTTAACAAACAGCCCTGTGGAGGTAGGTGGTGGAGGTAACACTCTTACCTCACCTTTGCCTCCAGGGTTCATCTCTCCCTTCAAGAAGGAGTTTGAGCATGAAGTCTTTCCAGATCACCCCCAGCCTCCAACTGCTATTGCCTTCTCTCCCAAACTACCTTGGACTTAACTACTTTGAATATATTCCCTTTATTCTGTAGTTGAGGCAGCTAGGTGGCTGGGCCTGGAATCAGGAAGACCTGAGTTCAAGTGTAGCCTCAGATACTTCCTAGCTATGTGACCCTGGGCAAGTCACTTAATCCTATCTTCCTCCATTTCCTCATCTGTAAAATGATCTGAAGAAGGAAATGACAAGCCACTCTAGTATCTTTGCCAAGAAAACCTCACGTGGGGTCACAGAGTTGGGCACAACTGAAACAAGAACAACAAAATAGATGTGAACTACGAAAAGTAAGGTTACCTGTTCAAAGTGACACACAACTAATATTGATCTAGGATTCAGACCAAGGTCTCCTGACTCCAAGACCACTCACTATTCTATCTGCTCCAGCACCCACCAATTAGAAATTGATTTGAATCAACAATTTTTTTTTTTTAAAAAGGTACGTCCCTTATGGGAAGGTTAAGGACTCTCATTTTTTCATGAAGTTTAAGTTCACAGACCCTATGCTAAAACCCTTGGTGTAGAGAGAAGTGGGGGGCCCAGGACAGAGGAGGGAAAATCTCTAAATTAGTTCATCAGCTGTTTCTAGCAGTTCACATTAAGAGAACTATATAGGAATTTCAACTGAGGGAGGGTTGTTGCTTTGGGAGGGTTGCAAATCCCAAAGTAAGCTTGTAGTAATAGGGGAACTTAGGTCAGCATGTGAGTCCTTGGAAGCTAAAGGAGAGCACCAGAAGATTTGGCAAAGACAATTTTACCTGTCTTACTACTTCTTCCATGGTCAGCTATGCACCAAGCGAGGAGAAATTATTGTTATCTTCCCTCTGTCTCTCTGTACCACATGAACTGACTCCCAGTTCAAAGAATTAAGGCTAGGAGTGTTACAGTAGTTTAGTTACATTATAAATTAGATAGGTTTTTGTGGGATTGCTTGGGGACCTCACCACCTTATCTTGTGTATGTGTTTATATATATGTGTATATACATAGAACATGTACACTGATGTAATAAACTTGAAATATAACAATACACTTGGAAATAACAAATGTACATAATAGATCAAATAATAAACAGCAAATGTGCAAAATAAACAAAAATGATTCTTAATATGCTCTATACTGCATCAGATTCTGTTCCATTATTAATGTATATATATTATACATATCATATATGTATACATTTGTGCAGTCATTTTCAATCGTGTCCAACTTTTGACCCTATTTGGGGTTTTCTTGGCAAAGATACCGAAGTAGTTTGCCATTTCCTTCCCCAGTTTATTTTACAGATGAAGAAAACTGAGGCAAACAAGGTGAAGTGACTTGCCCAGGGTCACCAGCTACTAAGTGTCTGAGGCAGGATTTGAACTCAGGAAGATGAGTCTTCCTGACTCCAGACCTAGCACTCTATCCCATGCCCCACCTAGCTATCTCAAGGTCTCTTTTAAGAATTTTGGAATCGATTGTGTGATGTGGGAGACACTGGCACAGGACCGCTCAGTATGGCATGCCCACATCAGAGAAGTTGCTATGCTCTATGAGCAAAGCAGAATTAAGGTAGCTCAGGAGAAACACAAGATGCACAAATTTAGAGAATCCACCCAAAATATTCACATAGACTATTTATACCCCGACCTATGGCAGAGAATATTCCGAGCTCATATTGGTCTGATCAGCCACAGTCAGACATACTGTAATTGGACTGTAGCATAATGATGTCATTTTGGTCCTCGAGAACCAGCCAACAACAACCAGTCAACCAACCAACATTAATGTAGTATATGTGCATATGTATTAATGTGTTCTGTATATACACATTAATAATATGCATTCTCATCTGGAAAGAGCTTTATAATATTAAAAGTAAAGTTACTTGTATTGATCCCTTGATAGCTTTATCCATATCTGTATTTATATATCTATCTAGTACTTTTACATAGCTGTAATCTGTAAATCACAATTCACAATACTATTTTTATTCTGAGATCTAAACCATCAATTTACAAATGAACTTTGGAGAGTAACCTGTTTGTAAATTAGTGTCTAATATTCATTCACACACATTGCTTCTTGACAAGAAGAGACTGCTCTGTCAATTCCATCTTTTAAAAGATAATTGTGATAAGGCATTTTTCATCAAGTTGCTATTCTAATTATATCCATTTTACCTCTCCTCTGATAGGATCTGGACTGCTGACAACAGCAGATTCTATAACAGCTGGATGCTCAATTAGGGCACTTTCAACCTCAAATGGTCCAATTCGGTACCTGGGAAGAAAAATCAATGAGCCCCTTAGACATAGCTTCATTTAATCCCATTCCTCCATTTTACAAATGGGAAAACTGAGGCCCAGAGAAGTTGAGTGACTCACCCAGAGCTACACAGACAGTACATAGCAGTCAGGCGTTGATCCCAATGCCTCTGATTCTAAATCCCAACTGCCATCATAATTTCTGAATTAACTTTTAGGAACTTTATTTTTATTTTGTAAACTGTTATTTTCTATTTTTTTTCTTCTACCTATTTTGACTACTTCTTAGTTTTTGGTCCTAGATCAACACCTGTGTCCTATTCCCTAATATGTATGTCTTCCAAGCTTCTGTCCTGGACCCTCCATTTCTCTCTACACCAAGGTTTCTTAGAATAAGGTCTGTGAACTTAAATTTTTTTTAATAATTGTATCACAATATATTTGGTTCCCTTTGTAAGATTGTTGTTGTTCTTGAGTTGTTTCAGTCATGTTCGATTCTTCGTGACCCCTTTTGGGGTTTTCTTGGCAGAGATACTGGAGTGGTTTGCCATTTCCTTCTCCAGCTCATTTTACAGGTGAGGAAACTGAGGCAGACAAGGTTAAGTGACTTGCCCAGGGTCACACAGCTAATGTGTCTGAGGTCAAATTTGAACTTAGGAATATGAGTCTTCCTGATTTCAAGCCCAGTGCTCTCTCCATTGTGCCACCTAGCTGCCTTTGTAATATTATATATTACATTTTATTCATTTAAAAACATTATTCTGAGAAGAGATTATAGGCTTCACTAGCCTGCCAGAAGGTCCATAACATAAAAAAGGCTAGGGACCCCTGCCATTCTTCTCTTGGTTATTTCATCAGCTTTCATGGATTCCATGATGTGCATATGATGTCCAAATCCTCTCTCTATGCACAAATGACATCCAGATCTACATTATCTGACCCTTTCTATCTCCTGAACTCTAGTCCTATGTCATTATGAACATGTCTTTTGAACATACCCTCCTGGATATCCCAAAGGCATTTCAAAGTGAACATGTCCAAATGTGACTCATTCTCTTTCATATTTCTAGTCATTTGGCCTCACACCCTCAGAGTCATTCTTGTCCCCCGCCAATATCCAATCAGTTGTTAAGTTTTGTTCATTCTACCATGAATACATCTCTCTAGTCCCTCATTACCTTTCTTGTGACTCATATTGTACCATCCTAGGTCATCATTTGTCACCTAGACTATTTCAAAATCAGCCTCCCTCCTAATCTCTCCAGTACTTTCTCCACAAAGTTACCAAAATAATCTTCCTAAAGCAAAAGTCTGATTATGTCACTCACTTGCTTAATATTCTTTTTTTTAAAGAAGCTGTACCATTATATTTATTTTAAAAGTTTTTATGTTCTAGTTTTTGTATTCAGACTTTTATTGAAAAGTAAATTTTCCTTACTATGCTTAAGATTCTTGAGTGGCTTCCTATTACCTTGAATATAAAATGTAAACAATTCTGCTAGGCATTTAAAACCCTTCACAATCTGACACCAGTCTACTTTTCCAGATTTATTTAACATTATTCCCCTTCATACACTCTTAGGTTCTAGTCAAACTGGTTTACTTAGCTGTTCTCCAAACTTGGTATTCCAGTTTCCACTTTTGTGTCTTTGTACAAACCCGTCCTCCATGCCTGTAATGTACTCCTCCTCCTTTCACCTCTTAGCATCCCTAGAATCCTTTAAAGCTCAGCTCACATGCCACCTCCTAATCCTCCCAATGTTGGTGTTTTCTCCTTCTTAAAATAAGCTTGTATTTATGTATCTGCTAGAATGTAAACTCCTTGAGAGCAGGGACTGTTTTCTGTTTCTGTCTTTGTATATCCTCCTTTGTCTTGCTGCTTACATATCCCGGCTTTGTGTGACTCTGGGCGAGTCACCCAAGCACTCAATGCTTAGGAAATTCTCTAAGACTTTAGTTTCAGAGAAAGTGCAGACCTACATTGGTAGAGAGAGTTTCCTCTTCCAGAAGTTCCCTACAGTAATGAAATCCCAGATCTAGTCCTTGTCCCTATCTTTGGGGGCTAGCTTAATGCTTTGTTTATATTAGCAACTTAATAGATATCTTTTGAATCAAAGTTTGTCACGTTCTGTATAGCAAAGATGCTAACCCGGATGATATGATGACATCATCAGCTCTCCCAACAAACCAAAAATAGCCATCACTATCCATTATCCCTCGGTCTCCAGTGACATAAAAATTCCCCCTGATGGTGGCAGCTGTTTTTGATGGATTATCCTAGAAAGGAGAAGGGAGCAATTCTAAGATTAATTTGATCCAAATAGTGATAAGTTCCAAATTTTGGCGCATTTTAGAAATCTTTTCAAAAGCAGCCCATCAGATTCCAAATTTTCGTACCACATATTCCGAGAAGAAACAGAATGGTCTTGTAGACTTCAATCTAAGAGCAATTTCCCCTTCTTTACCAGGTGGCAGAATATTACAGTTTTCATCTATGATCTAGAATGAGAAAAACACTTTGCTTGGCTGTTCAGATTGGATTCTCATTGGAATGAAAATAAAGACTTCCCTTGATATAAAAACCCATCATTTTAATACCCATATTCTTCCAGAGAACATCACAATCTCTGAAGAATCAAAGATGTGACTGACCCAACAGCAAGATATAGAGGGAGAGAGGGAAACAGAAAGAGGGGAGAGAGAGAGAGAGAAGCATGCTAAGCATCAGTTGACTACAAAACATTTCTAGTTCAGAATGACGTGCAAGATGCTATTTAAGGGATATTATCCAGGAAATGTAGGATAAGAAAAGGATGTGGTCTTGTCATGCAAAAACAAAGGATCTGAGGCTGAGTGTTGCCCAAGCATCCCCCACCTCTTGTTGGGGAGGATTTCTGGGGGGAAATGGACAAGAATCACACAGTATTAAGAGGTGTGCAATCTGGAAGAGATCTCAAATCCACTGAGGTATTGGAATTAAGAGGAGTTAAAAATAAAAGGAACCTAAATTGAAGGAAATTTTCTATCTTTGTCAAACCAATTATATTTCCTTGACCTACCTGGACATCGTAAGGTGGCACTCCCTTTCCCATTGATCCAGGTTTAATTTCGTTTCCTTTCTGATTGGCACAGATTATTCCCTGTCAAGAGGAAATGTCTTTAGTGGCATGCTAAGGTATGCTTTCTCTTCTTCCAGCCCTCTCCAAGAGAAGAGATGCATAGTTGGACAGCTAAAAGGTTGGCCTCAAAGTCAGGAAGCCCTGGGTTAAAGTCCCATCTCTGGTACATACTGGCTGTATGACCCTGGACAAATCACTTTTCCAATTAGTGCTCCAGGCAACTCTCTAAGATCGTCCGTTGCAGAAAGGGTGTTGATTTGCCTTGGCAGAGAAAGTTTCCTGAACCGAGTTCCTATGCTAATGAAATCATAGACCCAGTCCCTATCCCTAGGATAAGGCCTACTTTTTTCATCCTCTTATATATAATGACATAGAAACTTCAGATATTATATTGACAGACTTTCCCAATGATCTCTCCCAACTTATTTTATGAAGCCCCTCCTTATGTTCAAGATGCTTAGGGCAGTTAACTAAATCATACTTCATTGTTGTTGTTGAGTCATTTCAGTCATGTCTGACTCTTTGTGACCCTATCTGAGATTTTCTTTTTATCCCTTAAAAGTATTTTATTTGTTTTTTCCAATTACATGTAAAGATAGTTTCCAACATTTTTTTTGTAAAATTTTGAGTTCCAAATTTTTCTCCTCCCTTGCACCCTCCCCAAGACAACAAACAATCTGATATAGGTTATATATGTACAATCATGTTAAACATATTTCCACATTAGTCATGTTGTGAAAGAAGAATCAGAACAAAAGGGAAAAACCACAAGAAAGAAAAAGCAAACAAGAGAGTGAAAATAGTATGCTTCAATCTGCATTCAGACTCCATAGTTATTTCTCTGGATGTTGTTAGCATTTTCAAACAAGTGTCTTGGATCTTGGATCATTGTATTGCCGAGAAGAGCTAAGTTTATCATAGTTAATCATTGCAGAATGTTGCTATTGCTATGTACAATGCTGGTTCTGTTCACTTTACTCAGTATCAGTTTATGTAAGTCTTTCCAGGTTTTTCTGAAATCTGGCTGCTCACCATTTCTTATAGAATAATAGTAGTCCATTACATTCATATACCTCAACTTGTTCAGCCATTCCCCAATTGATGGGCATCCCCTTAATTTCTTATTCTTTGCCATCACAAAAAGAGCTGCTATAAATATTTTTGTACATATAGGTCCTTTTCCCTTTTTTATGATTACCTTGGGATACAGACCTACTAGTGGTATTGCTGGATCAAAGAGTATGCCCAGTTTTATAGCTTTTTTGGCATAGTTCCAAATTGTTCTCCAGACTGGTTAGATTAGTTCACAACTCCACCAACAATGCATTAATGTCCCAATTTTCCCATATCTTCTCCAACATTTATCATTTTCCTGTTCTGTCATGTTAGCCAATCTGATAGGTGTGATGTGGTACCTCAGAGTTATTTTGATTTGCATTTCTCTAATCAATAGTGATTTAGAGCATTTTTTCATATGGCTATAGATAGCTTTAATTTCTTTATCTGGAAACTGCCTGTTCATATCCTTTGACTATTTATCAATTGGGGAATGACTTGTATTCTTATAAATTTGACTCAGTCCTCTATATATTTTAAAAATGAGTCATTTATCAGAAACATTAACTGCAAAAATTGTTTCTGAACTTTCTACTTTCCCTCTAATCTTGGTTGCATTGGTTTTGTTTGTGCAGAAACTTATAGTCTCAAAATTATCCATTTTAAATTTCATAATGTTCTCTATCTCTTGTTTGGTCATAAATTCTTCCCTTCATATATCTGACAGGTAAACGAATAGTTGCTTGCTCTCCTAATTTGCTCGTGGTATCATCCCTTATATCTAAATCATGTACTCATTTCAACCTTATCATGGTATAAAGTGTGAGATATTGGTCTATGCCTAGTTCCTGCCATACTTTTTTCCATTTTCCCAGCAGTTTTTGTCAAATAGTGAGTTCTTATCCCAGAAGATGGAGTCTTTGGGTTTATCAACTGCGTTGACTACTGTGGCTTGTTCACCATAGTTAACTAAATCATACTTTATTGTTGTTGTTGAGTAATTTCAGTCATGTCTGACTCTTTGTGACTCTATTTGAGATTTTTTTTGGCAGAGATGCTGGAGTGGTTTGCCATTTCCTTTTCCATCTCATTTTACAAATGAAGAAACTAAGGCAAACAGAGTTAAGTGATTTGCCCAGAGTCACATAGCTGGTAAGTGTCTGAGGCTAGATTTGAGCTCAGGAAGAGTCTTCCTGACTTCTTCAGGCCTGGCACTCTATCAACTACACCACCTGGCTGTCCAAATCATACTTAAATGAACGATAATGAATTGCCTTATCTTAAACTTTCATCCCTTTATATCCTTTCCTCCAGTTGGGGCAATATCAGATTAGAACAGGGAGAATATTGGAATGATTATATAAAACCACAGAAGCAAGCCCAGATTTTTTTTTCCCATGGAAGTTAAAGCCATCTGTTTCATGACCCAAGAGAGCAGGCCTTGAGAGGAAGGATAGGGACCAAATTTATGATTTCACTGGTATAGGCAGAGGTGATCTGGAGCCAGCTTGAAGGGCTTATAGAGCCAATTGTTAAATTTCCGGGGTGAGCATTTATACATCAGAAATTGACAAAGGCTACAAATCAAGACTTGTATTATTTTTGCTTTTTATTGTCTAGACTTAAGAAAGTGATGGAGAAATGTTAATAAGACAGATTAGATGTAAAAGTGTGTCATCCATACTTTTTTTTGGAGACATTGTTGTTAGACATTTACCAGTATACCGTTGCATGTAGGGAATAGCCAAGGGAGTGAACTCCCTCTTCTATTGCAGGTTATCACTTTCTCTGAAACTTATAGTCAGAAAGGGCCGCCTAGAGCACTGAGAGGGAGTACCAGATAATTAAAATGATTATTTACATGATTTGCCCAGAGTCAGAGGTGGAATTGTAACCTAGGTGTTCCTGGCATCAAGGATAGCTCTCTCTCTCTCTGCTACAACACATTGTCTGATTTGTCAGAGGATTAAAGAAGGGGAGAAGAGGGAGTGTTCTTACTTTCCATACCATATGAAAATACAATAGAGTTTCAAGGGCTCTAGCAACATTTTTTCCCTGCATGTGGAGAAGCTCTCAACGTGACCTAAGTCATTTGCACATACCACTTCGGTCTGTCCATAGCCTTCATACAGCTCCAGTCCTGTCTGGCTTTTCCACTGTTCCCTCACTTCTGGGTTAAGTGGCTCCCCTCCAGTCAAGCAGTGCCTCAAAGTTTTGAAGTTATAGCTTAAAAGGCAGAGAAATTGTATAAGTTCATCTGGAAAGATGAACTTATTTAGTTCATTAGTTGACTATTTCAATTAAGTGCAGTGAAAGAGAGAGACAGAGGGGGGGAGAGGGAGAGAGAGAAAGGGAGAGAAAAGAGGGAGTGGGAGAAAGAGAAAAAACAGGAATGGAAAACAAGAGAAAGGGGAGAAGGAAGGGAGAGAGAGGGGTGAGGAGGAGAGAGAGAGAAGAAGGGAAAGAGAAGGAGAGAGAGAGAGAGAGAGAGAGGACTTGGGAAAATTTCCTAAAATGATTTGAGATTGTGTGAGACAAAGGACTGAAAGATTTACACATATGATACAGCATTACCTCCACTAGGCATATATCCCAAGGAGGACAAAGAAAGAGGGAACATATCTCAAAACACTAATAGCAGCACCTTTTGTGGTATCAAAAAACTGGAGGTAAAGTGGGGGCCTAATGATTGAAGAATGGCTGAGCTAATCATGGTAAACAAATGTAATGAATTATTATCACATAGTAAGAAAGTATGAATATGAAGAGTTCAAATATACCTGTTAAGACTTGTATGAACCGACGCAGGACAAAGAAGGCTGAACTGAGAGAATGATGTAAATAATGACCACAATAATGCAAAGGAAAGGATGAGGATAAAGATTAGCCCTGAGATTTCACTGGTTTAGAGAACTCCCAGATGAAAGAGTTCTCAACCAATGCAGGTTAATGCTTTCTTTGCACCTTATGGTCTTAGAGTGTTGCCTTGGGCACAGAGGTTAAATGACTTGCCTAGCTTCACGAAGCCAATATGTGTGCCAGATTCTGGCAACCAGAAGAAAGACTTGAGCCGAGGTTTTCCTGGCCAGCTGTCAATCCATTATACTATGATGTCTCTCAAATGCGAAGGAAAACAGCTCCAAGAGACATTAGAATTCAGATTAATATAATCACCAACCTTGACTCCAGAGGTCCAAAGTTGAACTATGCCTCCCTCCTCTCAGTAGAGAGGTGGTGGCCTATGAGTGTGAAACTCTGTATACATTGTTAGACATAGCCAGTGTATTGCTTTGTTTTGCTTAACTGTTTTTCTTTTTTATGGGTGGGGTAGTTCTGTGGCAGGGGTAGGGTAATATTCGGAAGTCACATTGATACAAAAAAAAAAGCATCATTAAAACATTAAAAAAATTTTTTGAAAGAAGAAAATACAAATTTCCTACCTGAGAAGAAAATGGCTGGGGGTGGGGGTGACCAGGGATGTCTGTTATGGAGCTTGTTTTAGAGCATTGGTTTAGAAAATAGTATAATTCTTAAGCTTCAAGATAAGTGATTTTGCCAAACTAGAAGTTATCAGTTTTCTGCCCCCAAGGCAATATAGAAAATAAAAAGAAATTTTTTTTTCTAAGATACCTCTTAAGGTCTTTTTGTATAAGCATCCGGTATACAGTTGGGGCACTGCAGAGAGTGGTTATGGGGTAGTTGTTGAGCGTCTAAAGAAATTATAAAAGAGACATCAAAAGTTAAAGGTCAAGAAATCAGATGTTTTAAGTTTCTAAATACAATTGTAGATTTAGAAATAGAAGGTACCTCAAAGGTCATATTAGTTCCAACTTCTCATCTGACAGGTGAAGAAACCTAGGCCCAGAGGAGGAAAGTGACTTACCTAGCTGGAGATAGCTGGGTGGTATGGTGGATAGAATGCTGGGCCTGGAGTCAGGAAGACCTGAATTTAAATCCTGCCTCAGACACTAAATGTGTGACCCTGGGCAAGTCACTACACCTCTGTTTGCTCCAGTTTCCTCATCTGTAAAACGGGGATAATAACAGCATCTACCTCCCAGGGCTGTTGTGAGGATCAGACAAGATAATGTTTTTATAAAGTACTTTGCACAGTTCCTGGCACATAGTAGGGGCTTAATAAATGCTTGCTTCCTTTATTCCTTCCATAAATCTTTCAAACCCAGGTCATCTGACAACTCTAAATCCAATGTTCTTTCCAGTGAAAAGTACTGCCTCCTCATCTTTACTAATTCCTTTAAAAAGGTCTATCCATTGCACATCACAAGACTAAAGAAGCTTATTCATTGACAGTGCATTGATTATATACTATAGTATCACCAAATGTTGCAAACAAAATACATTTTATATTATAGATACCTCCCACATAAAGTTCCAACTAGTTATATTTCACTGCAGAAATAACTGATCACCCAGGGTATTTTACTTGAAATCTAACTTCCTCAGCAAGATCTCATTAGCCCTTCTTCTACATATTTACATAAAGTATAATTTCTATGCAAATATACAGAACAGTGTTGGTACATGTGAACTGAAACAGTAGGAACTCTCTTTTCCTAAGAAAATATGATTCTTTTAAATGAATTTATAAAATGTAAGAGTACTACAGCCTTTAAGTTTTTCAAGTCTGCTTCTACTGGATCAGAATCTAATTTTTTAATATCACTGTAATTAAAACAATTCTGATATACCCATTAAATTGACAAAAGTAATTAAAAATTTAATGTTGACAGTGTCTGGTAGACTAGGAGATGAGTTTAGCTATGACTCAGAGAGAAATCCAGAAATTTCTAGCTTACTAAGAACAAAACATGTATATTGTCTTAAATGTTCAAAAAAGTAATTAAAATTTTTATTATAAGCTTAAGAACCATAACACATTTTTATATTCAAATGCACAAACAGCTCCCAAGATAACAGCTGCACAGGAAAGCATACTTTTTGTAAACTTACATGTTAACTTTAACAAGATAATAACTAGATCATCTTATTTATTACTTTATCTTCTTCTCAAACTGTTTTTTCTCCTACTGTGTATTTTTCTAGACTCTGTTGATGATATTATTATTATATACACCTGAAATGTACATGGTTGTCATAATTTTCAAATACTGCTGTTTTGGTCTTGCTTTCTTCATCCTGAATCGCTTTAAGATTTTGTAGCATTCGTGTTTGTCATTTCTAATGGCACAACAATAATCTATTGCATTCATATTCCACACTTTGTTTAGCCCATTTACTGATTATTGGACAGAGTCTGGTTTTATGTTATTACAAACAAGGTTGCTATGAATATTTTTGTACAGGGAGATCTTTTTGTCTTTAGGATATAGTGTAGGTAGTGGGATCATCGAGTCAAAAGGTATTGTGTAACACCACAGTGCTTTCCAAAAAGATTGCACCAATTCATGGTTGTTGCAGCAGTGAAAAATAATGTCTCTGTTTCTTTCTTCATACCCACATGGTTCAGCCAAGAGTCAGTGCAATCAAACACTCAAAGTTTAGGTATATATATGCAAGCAGTAGCTTTACTGAGATACAGAGGATTTTATTTTTAAATAGCAGGGAAGAATAAATGGTTGAGTGAAAATTCCCATAGTGCTTCTATTCCCCTTTTGAAGAAGGTTGGTTATTCTCAGTAGAGGGGGCCTAAAGGGAACCAGGGGCCCTGTCAGGTCAGAGAACCTGTAGGATGGTCCTTCTGTGCTCCTTGAAAGTCCCCTTACTAATGAATAATCACTTACCTACCTAAGGGCCCACACCTCTGTTTTAGGTCACCTCCCTGGAAATATTTCCTTACTAATTTGATTTAGCTGTGACTCCTCTGTAGCTTCCTTTTCCTGAATTTCTAGCTGAATAACTGAACTCAACTCCTAGCCTACCACACTCTGCCAACATTAACATTTTAATTAATTTTGCCAATTTAATGAATGTAACGTAGTAGGAGAATTATTTTAATTTAGATTTCTTTTTATTAATTTGGACACTTTTAAAATGGTTATTGATAATTTGTTACTTCTTTCAAAGTACTTGTTCACATCCTTTTACTATGTGTTTTCTGGGTTATGGATCTTGCTCTTAAAATTTATTTCAATTTCTTAGGGATTTTGAATATCAAACTTTTTTTTAGTAATATTTATAGGAATTCCCCCCCCAATTTGTTTCTTTTCTTTTTATTCTGGATGTATTGCTTTTTCTTGTGCAAAAGCACACACTTCTTTCTCTCTCTCTCTCTCTCTCTCTCTCTCTCTCTATCCTGCCCTCTCCCCCCCACATATATGTACATATGTATATATGTACATTATAGATTTTGTGATATACATGTGTGTACATACATGTATTGTAGACATACATATATGTACATGTGTTATCAAATCCATTTATTTTTCCCTTTTGTAAATCTCTCTGTTGAATAGCAAAGAATTTTTCTATCTCATCCCTTTACTTTTATAAGGAAATTCAATCCATATTCTTGGTTATATTTATTGCATGTGACATCCCTGTACTGTGCTTTCATTTAATTTCTCATTTTTTTTTAGAAAGGAATACAACCTTCCTTATCTCATTGGTAATAATTCTATCTCGACCTTAACATACTCACATTGCACTAAACACAGTCACTATATTTTATATCATTCATTCTATAAATTTTTTGAAAATGTGATTTCCCTGGTCTTTTCCTTGTTTGAGATAGGAGTATCACTTTGGGATTACTTTTCTCCCGCAACTCCTCCCTTTTAGCTATACTCATTTTTTGGTTGTTTAAAAAAAAATCTGTGGCATCCTAAATCAACCTATTTCTCTCCTTCACCTTTCCTCTGAAAGCATTTTTGTTTGAAATGTGGTGCTTTCCTTTTCGATTACTTGTAAAATCATTTCTTTGTTCTTGTGTCCTGAAGTTTGACAGTATATTTGGCTGAGTAGAATTAGGGGTTCATTCTTGTTGATGTTCTATGAATTCTTTTAACTTGGAGTCTGTTCTTCATTTTCAATATTTCTGGCAAAATTTCCCATATGATTTCCTGAAATAGTGTATCGTGAGGTTCTTTTCTTCACAGCTTTTGGGAAGCCTTTAGGCATTCTTTAATTTAATTCTTTAGGCATTCTTTAATTTTCCATTTTTGGCCTGCCTTCTCTATCTGTTTTTATCTGTATAGATTCCAAATCTTTTAACAGTTGTTTAATTTATTAGGCAATTTTTTTTCTGTATTCTCTGTTGTTTTTGCAACTTTCCCTCCAGTGAAATAATTTTATTTTTTATTTATATTTTTGTGAAAATTGTAATCTTTTTATTGTTTGATATAGTTATAATTATAGGACTCCAACATGGAATCACTTAGACCAAGTGGTCCTAATGTCCATAAAACAGATGGCAAAGATAATCAAGGTTGTACTTTTTGTTGTTCTATGTTAACCCTATTTCAAGCAGTTAATGCTTGCAACTTCTGATTGGATAAAACTCAGACCCTTTCCCAGCTTCTATTCCCAATAAAGAAATTCTCCCTACCTGAGTTTCACCCAAGTGCAATATCAATAAGTGACCCTGAGAACTTCACCACTTCTGGGTCTGATTAGGAATGTCCCCTCTCACATCTGACAGGAATTACCTATCCTCCACCAAGCCCATTTTTAGAGAATATAACTTTTCCACCTGAATTCCTACTTTATGTCTTTTTTTCCTACATATCTATCTCCTCTCACCAGGAAAGTTTTTTACAGTGGAGGGGCAGGGTAGGTTGTGTATGTGTGGGAGAATTTCTGTCTATACCTACTTGCTTGCTGTGCATATAATGATAAAGCTCTTGTTTATATCAGCTTCTCGAGTACCAATTTCCATAAATTTCCTAACCCAGGTTTTTGCTTTAACTTCATCTGTTAGGCCAAATAAAGTAGTTTTCCATAAGTACTTAAAAATTGTTTAATTTCTTCTTTATTATGCCTTAGATTTTCAAATTCTTTCCTTTATTTCACTTCATGATTTTTGTTGTTGAATCGTTTCAGTTGTGTCTCACTCTTCTCTACCCCATTTGGGGTTTTCTTGGCAAAGATACTCAAGTGGATTGCTATTTCCTTCTCCAGCTCATTTTGTCTTTTTTTTTTTGTGAGGCAGTCAGGGTTAAATGACTTGCCCAAGGTCACACAGTTAGTACGTGTCAAGTGTTTGGTCTGAGGTGGGATTTGACCTCCAGCTCATTTTGCAGATGAGGAAATTGAGGCAAACAGGGTTAAATGACTTCTCCAGGACCACACAGCTAGTAAGTGTCTGAGGCCAGATTTGAACTCAGGAAGATGAGTCTTCCTGACTCCAGGGCCAGCACTCTATTCATTGTTCTACTCAGATGATATTTTTGCTCATTTTATTTCTTTCTTCAATTCTTTTACTGTATCCATTATCTATTTTTTTGTGCCTCAATGAAATTCTTGTTCCATTTTCCTTGTTGGTCATATTTGAATTGTTTTTCTTCAGGTATTTCTGCTTTCATTTTTCTTAACCCATAATGTTTTTTCATTGCATTATAATATTTCTGTTGTCTATTCATTTTTTAAAGTTTTTTTTTCTAAAAATAATTTTCTTTTGAAAGCATGTAGTAGATTTGTTTCATTTTGATGTTTCCATTGGTTTTTTGAGGGAGTTATTGAGAAGAATGAGACCTTTTACTTTTCCATCTTCTTATAAGTCTTATGTTTTAAATTTTAAGAAATATTAGATTTACATTTAAATAATTCTTTCTGAAGAGGTCTTACTGCGTCAGTTAACTCAGTGGTATTTTGTCCTATGTAAAAACACATGATAGAGTAAATGAATGCTGAGATATAGATTCATAGACTGTTAGATCTGGAATAGAATACTTAGATTCACCTAATTCAAGCCTTCACTTTGCAGATGATAAAACAGGTTTGAAGGGGCAAAATAATTTTTTGAAGATCACACAATTTATTGGTTGAAGAGATAGAATCCAGGATGACAGCATCATAGATTTAGAGCTGGAAGGACCTTTTGTGCTAGAAGGAACCTTAGAGGTCATCTAGTCCACTACCTTTTTTTCCTTTTTTGGTTAATAGCTGAGGAAACTGAGGCCCAGATAAATTAAGTGCCTTGCCCAAACTCACAGAGGTGCAAAGCTGGGATTTGAACCCAGGTTCCTTGACTCCAAATCCAGTATTCTTTTCATTTTACCTATATCACACTAACCCAGGTTTCCTGACCCTAAATTCCATTTCTTTTCTTTGGTGCACCTACTCTGTTCTTTATTTTTCTCACCTCTGAATTTTCATTCGTTTCATGTTTCATCTTCTTTGATTTTCGGGTGAGATTTTATCCTGTAGACATTTGGCTCGCTAGTTCTAATTGCTTTGTATATGCTGCTGCTGTCTCATTCAATAGGTGTGTACTCATTAAGATCACACAGCACATCATGGTGAATAGAGCCCTGGGCCTAGAATCAGGAAGACTCATCTTCCTGAGTTCAAATCTGATCCCAGACACTTATTATCTGAGTGACCCTGGGCAAGTCACTTCACCCTGTTTGCCTCAGTTTCATTATCTGTAAAAATGATCTGGAGAAGTAAATGACAAACCACTCCAGTGTCTTTGCCAAGAAAACCCTAAATGGAGTTATGAAGAGTTGGACGCAACTGAAAAAACAACTGAACAACGAAGGGACCTCAGAGGTCATTATCTAATCCCTCATTTTTCTGGTGAGGAACCTGAGGCTTGCAAAGATTAGGTGACACTGGCCTCCCTGCTATTCCTTTCACAAGATAGACTCCCGGCATTTTCTCTAGTTGTCCTCCATGCCTAGAATACTCTCCCTCCTTATTTCCACCTTCTGGCTTCCCTGAAGTAACCGCTAAAATCCCATCTTCTATTTGTAACCTTTTCTTATCCCCCTTAATGCTAGTTCCTCCTGTGCATTGATGATGTATTCCGTATTTATCTTGTTTGTACACAGTTGTCTTCCCTGTTAGACTGTGAGCTTCCTGACAGCAGGGACTGTTTTTTGCCTTTCTTTGTATCCCCAGTGCCTGAGGACATATTGTTGTTGTTGTTGTTGTTTAGTCATTTCAGTCACGTCCAACTCTTTGTGACCCCATTTGGGATTTTTGTGGCAAAGCTACTAGAATGGTTTGCCATTTCCTTCTCCAGCTCATTTAACAGATGAGGAAATGAGGCAAATAGGGTTAAGCAACTTACCCAGGGTCACACAGCTTGTAGGTAGGTGTCTGAGGCTGAATTTGAGCTTGGGAAGAGGAGTTTTCCTGACTCCAGGCCTAGCGTTCTATCCACTGTACCACCTAGCTGCTTTTGGTACATAGTAGGCACTTAAGAAATACTAACTGACTGACTTGCCCAAAGTCATATAGGTGGTGACAGTGCTAGGATTTGAATCAAGGTCATCTGACACCAGTACCAGTGGTCTTTCCATCAGTTCATCTTCTATTACTGATAAACCATAGCAAATACAGTTTGAAGCCCTGAGTCGTATACTGACTGACTTACCTCAGGTCACACAATGAGGCAGGTATAGAAGCAGGCAAGGTCCCAGCTTTTCCAGAGTTTAGACTTATATTCAGATTCCCAAATCACTCCACCTCAACAGGTACCACCACCCCTAGGTCACATAGAGTTCTAATGCGTTTAATGACATATGGTGGATTCTACTTTTTAAATGTTCTACAAGGGAAAATAACTGCCCTTCATCACATTTTTCTAAAGGTCAATGAAATCTCAGCCATCTAATACCTTAGTCTAGCCCTTCTTACCTGAGAAGAAAGAATAAGCCTGGTGTTTGCAAAGCAGTATCAAATTCATGGATTAGCACAGTGAGAAGGACAGAGAGTGGGTGTAGAAAGGGCTGCTCTGGGGCAAAGCACCCAGGATCTTGCTAGACCTAGAGGTCTACCTCTGCCACCCATTGTCTTTGATTCACTGAAGCATAAGCAAAATACTTGTTTACACTTAAGACTCCTTAGTTGATTGCTTAGAACAAGACCCTTAAGCTGCCATGGATTATGGTGATATTAATAAATCTTAAGCAATTAAATGTGGTTAGATTTTATGCTTGAGAGAGCTGTGGGTGTTCCCTTGTTAGGATATTAAGTAAATGCATTCAACAGTGAAGCCCCTAGAGACTTCACACTGTAAACAAGAGTAAATTCCATAAACCCAAGAAACTCTGTTTACTGACTAATCACTTATTTGTGGTTATGTGGGTGACATGGCAGAGCTCAAAGGGTTTGTGCCAGGAGGTTGGTGGGGAGGCTGTAACATACATCTAAGAAGACGTCCGTGTCAAACTGGGCCATGCGGTGCACAAAGACGCAGGCTCCTTGAAGCCAGGTTGAAAAGACACTACCAATGGCAGCTTTCACCCAGCCTGTATCAGCCATGTTCCACATGATATCTGAAGGTTTCAAGTCCAACCAGTACCTGAACAACACCAAAGAATAAGAAAAAAAAACCATGAAAAACATCTCCATGTTAATAAAAAGCAAATAAGCATCTCCTGAGATGCTGTAACATTGTAAATCTAAATCCACGTAGGCAACCATGGTGTAGTTCCAAACTATACCTTCCACAAAGAGTGTACCCAATACCAAGGCTACTCTGGGAGTGCTGGGCCATTTTGGGAGAGCCTGTTGTCCCACTGGTAAAATAGATAGCCATCGGTTCATGGCTTGCTGTCTTCACACAGTTATGTTCTTCAGAGGCTGACCTGTAAAATGTAGCCGAAGACAATGACTGAAGTTGAGGGATCAGTTTAATGCTGACACTCTGGTTTTGACATTGATAAATTGTGATAACTTGTGCACTATGTACAGTTTATGAATCACTTCTCCATATATGATGTTATTTGATTTTCACAGCCTGGCATTTACTTGACATTGGAGGTGGCCCCTGGGGTAGAACTGACCTGGCTGATTATTGGTGGGTCAATAACTCAACGACGTTTCACCCCTATGTAAACAGTCATTTACTACCCCCTCACTTTGACCCTCAGACACCATCAGGCTTCTGTTGCTCATACACCTCCCTGTTGTATCTTGTTCAAGAAATAATAATCATATTAACATTACCATTGCTAGTGTGAAAGGCATGACAAATTTGAAGCAGCTGGGTAGTTTAGTGAGTGGAATGCTCGATTTGGACTCAGGAAGACCTGAATTTGAATCTTGCCTCAGAAACTTAGTAGCTGTGTGACCTTACTGAAAAAGTAGGTTCGGGACCAGGCTTTAAATGTTAAACAAAGGAAAGTCTTTTCTTTTCTTTTTCTCCTCAAAAATAATTTTTATTTTTAATAACAGTCACAACACACATCAATCAAATAAACCAAATGAGATATTTCATCTGGAAAAAGCAAACAGACAAACAAACAAAAAGCCATAAACTTCTTCCATTTGATAAGTCCCAAAGGTAAAAATTGCAAAAAAAACAAAACCTTATTGCTCAATGTCTCCTGCTTTTTTTTCAATGTGAGTACTTATAAAATTTTCTTTTAAACAAGAGGAATTTGTATAGGATTCCTTGTTTTGCAGAGAAGACAACTCAGGCTTAAGTGAATTGTCCAGAGTCACAGAGGTAGTAAGTGAAGTGGTACATTAGATTATAAGCTTCTTGAGGGCAGGAGCTATCTTTTGCTTCTTTTTGTATCCCCAGAGTAGTACCTGGCACTATCGATTGATTGATTGAAATAGTACTCAAACCTAGGTTTTCTGCTTCCTGGTCCATTGTTGTGTTAACTTTTGAGGATACAAAGCCAAAAAAGAAAATGGAAAAATAGTCCTTGCTCTTAAGGACTTAACATTCTACTGGGGGACACAGTATATTAAAAATAATTAAATGAAAGATAATTTGAAGAGGGAGAGATCACTAATAATTAGGGAGAGCAAGAAACATTTCCTAAAGGAGGTAATACCAGAACTGAGCCTGGTAGGGAGCTAGGAATTTCAAGAAGCAGAAGTGAAGGAGTGCCATCCAGGAATGGGGACCAGCCTGTGCAAAACACAGAATTCCTAGTTTGGGGAAATGCAGGCACATCAGTTTGCACGGGAACAGAGAATACATAAACAAGGGCAGTAGAAATCTAGGTAGGTAAGCTGTTGTTAGATTGTGACGCTACAGTGCCACCTTAGCAGTTATTGTCCCCATCTTACAGATGAGGAAACTCAGGCAAACAGAGGTTAAATGACTTGCCCAGGGTCACACAGCTAGTAAGTTTGAGGTTTGTTTTGAGCTCAGGGCTTCCTGCCTCTAGGCCCAGCGCTCTATCCACTGTACTGCAGAACTACTATAATTTCTCCTATCTGTTCAAATGCACTTTAAATATAAATAATTAGAAGTATACATTATGATTTTATAGTTTTACTTTGAAATACAGTTTTTTATTCTATTGTTTTTCTTTGATTTATGGATTAAAAAAAGAGGGAATACTACATTAATTAATGCAATTTAGTCATTGGAGGTATTCTTAAATTCTGGTCCTTAAGGCTCTGCTCTTGTGCCACCTTCATACAAGAATCTATTCTGATGCCAATAGTTCTAGCACTGTTTTCCTCCTCAAATTATCAGAAATATACTTGTGTTTTTACATATAAATAGTAGACTGTAAGCTCTTAGTTTCCTTCAAAGCTTAGCTTAGGCTCTACCTTCTACATGAAGTCTTTCATGATCTTCTCAGCTGTTAGTGACTTCTCCCACCCTAAATTACTTAGTATTTATTACATATATGCACACATATAATTATAATTATGTAATTATAATGTAATCATATATGCACACATTCACATATATGTATAAACACATAGGCATATATATGCATGTGTGCATGTACATATGCTATCTCCTCTATTTTAGTATAAGTTCCCCGGGGAGCAGAGATTATTCATTTCGTCTTTGTATCTCTGGCTTCTGGGACAGTGCATAGTAAGATTTTGATAAATGCTTGTTTACTGATTGAACAGTTGTAAATCCTTAATAAATACATTGTGAATTACATTGGATTAGAAGGGAAGGGATGGAATCTCTAACCCTAGAGTTCAAAGAATCATAGAATTTCAGAGTTGAAGGAATCTCAGCAGTTAACTAGTCCAATCAATATACCATGAAGAAACCCCATCACAACATATTCAATTGGTCAGACATTCTTTACTTGAAAACATACAATGAAGGGAAAGCCATTCCCTCACAAAGTAGACCATTCTATATGTGAATAGGTCTAATAGGGCATTTGCCTTTACATTAAACACAAATTTGCCTCTTTCCAAATGCTCCCCATTGCTCCTGGTTCTGTGCTATGGAGCCAAACAGATCAAGTCTAATTGGTCTTCCACATGGTGGCCCATCGAATACTTGAAAGAGTCCTTCCAAAAAAAGGCATCATAGACCTAATCCTATTTGCTTTTCTTATGTATGTTACTTCATTCCTTTTCAATTCAATAAAATCAAATACCTATTATGCGGAAGGCACTGTGCTAAGAAAACAAACAAAGCTATCTGTCCTGGATGGGTTGTATACTCTCCTGGTTTGTAAGATTTCTTGAGCTTCCTCCTTTTTTTTTGTGGTTCAATGGATTTTATCATATGGCTCAGGTAAGGATCCCCAAGCAAGTTAGAGGTTTGACAAATCAGTACACACAAGGGAAAATCTTTTAAATTCATTCTTGCTCAGGTATTTGTGGGTAATATAAGGTAGGGTCAGAAAGTACTCACTCAAATAACTCGTTGAAGTTTAGCCATCCACTGCGGCTATTTTCTGACACCAGGATCTTGGTTTTAAGAGCAGGGCAGTTGGACACAATAGAATCCACAGCTGGGGCTACCTCCTCACTAGCCACAATACACTTGGCCTTGGATGCTGTTAGCCTGTAGAGAATGTCTTTGGCTGTCAACTGGATTGTCCCAGGCATGAAGACAAGTCCTGGAAAAACCAGAGAATTCACATGCAAGTAAGGGACTGGAATCATCTTAACTTTCTCCTAAGTATTTGGCTGATTTGAACTATTTCAGAGAAAAATGTTAGAAGAAGTCAATTGTTGAGCTTTAGGGAAGGGAAGTAGCCACTAAACTGGACCAGAAAATCAAGTAACAGACACTGAATGTCAAAACACTACTAGTTAGGAGCCTTGAAATGAATTGGATAGGAGAACTTGGGTTTAATTCCTCAGAAGATTCTGTTATATTCTCTTGGAATTGAATTAAATTAATTATAATACCAAATGGTTATGGTAGAATCAATATATTGTTGATGAACATGAAGATGGAGTAAGAAAATACCTCAGAGAAGACATCTCTCCCTTCTCTTGCACAGGTTGGGGTCCACAAGTGTGGAGCACTGCATATATCAGATTTTCTTGATGTGTTGATTGCTTTTTTTTTTTTCAGAATTTTTTCTCTTTTCTTAAAAAATATTTTTCTTATGGGGGATGGCTCTTTTGGAAGTGAGGGGGAGAGTAGGAGGAGGGAAATATAAACAATGTAAAAACAAAAGTAAATCCCAAAATATATTAAAAAATACCACAGAGGATATGCATACCTGGGAAAATATAAAATTAATTATTATTCAAACTAATTTTTATTTAATTTAGATATATTTATATTTAACTTTGGCCTTACTAGCCAAAGAGATGACAATAATTAATTATTGCTATAGAAATGGTTGCTGTATGGGACCATAGGATTACAGAATCATAGATTTAGAGCTAGAAGGGATGAGCCCTTTCGTTTTGCAGATGAAGAAAATGAGGTCCAAAGAGTTTAATGACTTGTCCAAGGTCACCCAGGTAGTGAGTGAAAGAGCTAAGATGAGAACTGAATGCCTATAATACCCGAGATAGCACCTATACTGCTATACATGCTGTTTTTCACTGACATTGGCCAATTTGTGACTATGATAGTGCAACCATCATAGAAACCAGTATGATGGAGTGGAAAGAGAATAAAACTTGAAATCTGAAGACCTATTCATCCTGTATATAGATATTTGTTTGCATGTTGTCTCCTCCATTAGATTGTAAATTCCTTGAGGGCAGAGACTGTCTTTTGACTCTTTTTGTATCCCCAGCACTTAGTACAGAGCCTTGCACATAGTAGGTGCTTAATAAATATTTATCGACATCTGAGACATTGGACAAGTTATTTAAACTTCACTTTCATCATTGTAAAATATGAGGGTTAGACTGGAAGATCATATATTAAGAGCTAGAAGACAGCTTTAAGGTTATCTAGTGTAGCTCCCTCACTTTACAGTTGAGGAAATTGAGGCTTAGAGAGTCTAAGTCACTTGCCCAAGATAGTAAGCGGTCAAACTAGGATCCAGACCCAGGGCTGATCCTAGTTACTTGCAACTCTATTGTTGTTCAGTCGTTTCAGTCATGTCTGACTGTTTGTGACCGTATATGGGCTTTTCTCCAGCTCATTTTAGAGATAAGGAATGAAGGCAAACAAGATTAAGCCACTTACTCAGAGTCACACAGCTAATAAGTTTCTGAGGTCAAATTTGAACTCAGTTTTCCTGACTTCCTGGCACTCTATTCACTGCATCACCTAGCTTCCCAATTCTAAAACCTTCAATTGAAAATCTTATCAGATTTTTAATTTTAGCTTGAAATTCTATTTACTAATAATAACTGATATTTATATAACACTTTAATGTTTACAAAGCACACTTCTCACAACAATCTTGTGAGATGAGCAATGCAAGTGCTATCTCCACATTTTATTGAAAGAGAAACTAGAAGTTGAGTGACTTACCCAAGGTCACACATCTAATAGACAGCACAACTGGGACTTAAGTCCATGTTTTTGGACTCTGTCCTTCTCCCTTTCTACCATACTATAGCTGCATCCCCATTTAGTATATAAATTATTTGACTGTGCAACACATAATAAGCAAGTTTATTATAACACGGATTTTATAAAGGGACATCCATGGATAAATTCCCAATTTCACAACAAGAATATTGGCCATTAATTCAGTAATATCTTTTATATTTCCCTGACTGGAATGCCTATTTTTTAAAATAATATGCTATTTGGTTATTTGAAATATCACCTTTTATTGATTCCTATTTGTCTAAGTTGGCCCCTTGACTTAGGAATGTTAACATCACTGACCTGTTCGCATACAAGCCACATTGACCAGCCACCACTCTGGAACTCTGGGTAGAATCACAGCTACTCTCTCTCCTCTTTGGAGGCCACATGACTTGGAGAGGGCATTGGCCACTTTGCAGGATAAGAGGCCCAGCTCCCCAAAGTTCCATTTCACCTCAGCTCCTTTGCCATTAATCCACCATAATGCTGGGTTGGGGGGACGCTCTCCTTTCTGGTCAGTGAAACAAAAGAAAGGAATGTGAAGGCCATATGCCTAGGGTCTGTGATGGAACCTTTAATAATAGGAACAGGGAATCAGGGCTTGGTATATTATTTTGTTGATTGTCTAGACTTAAGAAAGTGATGGAGAAAAAGTTAATAATGAAGATTAAATTTAAAATGTGTCACACGTACTTTTTTTCTTCTTCTGGAGATCCAATTCTTAAACATTTACCACCACATCCCTGAATGAAGGAGACAGACACCTGCACTGAGACAGCCTAGTCCAGCACAGAAGCAGGGAGGGGGATTTAATGAACCTCGGAGAGCAGAGGTATCCCTGGCATTCTGTGATTCTGTGAAATGACTCATCTAATACTCTGTAACATCAAAGAGAACCTTTGAATCTTTGAGATGAAAGGAATCTTAGAAGCTGTCTGGTCCCATGTCCCACACAAAATGCAATAAAACCTTTTGTAACATCTTTGATGGGTTGTCACTTAATTCTTCCTTGAAGTGAATGTTACCCACATAACTTTGAAAGCAGAGGCTTGGTTTAAACTGACAACTTTGTATTTATCTTCAATCAACCTCTGAGGGGCTCATCAATAGATAATTTATAAAAATCATGTTTGCCTGTATAAAGTTCTTATAGGTTTGAAAGAATTGAGAATTATGAAGATTCTAAGACACCAAGGAACATTTCTGATTGTGACTCAGTGTTCAGATATATTACATGTCACTCTTCATTATGTGCTCCCAACCCCATCTCCAGAACTGGAAGGAATTAGATGAACTTAAGCTAATCATATTCATAAAAGAATAGCAACGACTGTTCATTGGCTTTATTTTTATTATTTTAAAGCATTACTACCAATAGTACCTTTTGGGATAATCTATGACCAGGAGACCTTCAAAAATTATAGTTAGCTGAACAGAGTTGCATGGTACCCATAATAAATGAAGTTATAATGTGAGAAAAGAGAAGGCACTAGGCAGAGGTGGAGGGACTGTAGGTGGAAGGGGGCTACTTTTATTTGAGAAGGAAATTTCTTTCCAAAGGGGAGAGTAGAAAACTGGAGTGTGAGAGGCTTAGAGAGATAGGAGATTGAAGAACAGAACTGTGACTAGTATGGGACAAATAAGGCTTTGCCCCATGTTATTGAACTAGGAGCTTTGCTTTCTCCTTGTGGTGACTGCCATCTCTATGCCAAGCCCTTCTTTGCAGTTCTCAGCCACCATGTGACACAATCACCCTGGGTCACCCCTAGTTTTCTGTCTCCATGGCATTCCTGTCTTACAATCCACCTTCCTCCCAAGCTTGTCAAGGATGCCCCCTCTCCTGGCATAGACTGCACCTATGGTCAAACTGTGCTTCATACCCCTGTCTCCTCTTCCCCACTTTCCTTAAGTGAAAATATTCCTAGTTGTGGCTGTGTTGAAGAATGACTCATAGGATGATAGAAGGGACCTCAGAAGCCATTTGGTCCAACCTCCTCATTTTATAGATGAGGACAACAAGGCCGTGTGAAGTTAAATGACTTCTCCAGGATAATAGGCAGTAAGTTTCAGCGCTGAAACTTGAACCTGGATCCTCTGGCTCCTGGATCAGGGTTCATTCCATTGGAGTCAATGCTGAGGTGGACAAAAGTTATGCTATTACAAAGTAAAACATCTCTTACCTTTTCAGCCTGTGCCCATCTATCCAGTACATCCCCAGCAAAGTTAAAATTCTCTGGTAAGTCCCGTTCACAGCGATTTATAGCTTCAAAATCAGAAAGACTCAGAGGAGTCAGAACCTGGTATCCTTGATGAAAATACCTCCTAGGAAACTTAGGACTCCAGATGAACCTGAACATCTGTAACTGTAATAAAATCTTCATGATGGCAAGATGGATTTTTTTTGACAATTGAGCCTCAGCAATAGAATATCCTGCAAGAAGAAGAATGGAGAGAATATCAGTCCTCTGTTTATCTCATGCAATGTGTTCAGAGGTGTCTTATGGTTCCCATAGGTGTTGAACACCATACACATCCTTTTCTTCTTTCTTGAGTTTGGAAAACCTGGAACATGTCCAGACAAAGGTAACTAAGTTAGTGATGGACCTTGAGACTATGCTATATAAGGATCAATCAGTCAATATTTATTAAATACTTACTACGTATGTGCTAGGTACAAAAAGATAGAAAAGCCAGTGCCTGCCCTCAGGGAGCTTATAATCTAACAAGGGTGGCAACATGCAAACAAATATATACAAAGCAAGCTACATACAGAATGAATAGGCAATGAATAATAGAAGGAAGACACTAGAATTAAGAGGGGTTGGGGAAGGCTTTCTGTAAATAAAATGGGATGTTAGTTGAGACTTAAAGGAAGCCAGGGAAGTTTGTAGGCAGAATTGAAGAGGGAGAGCATTCCAGGCATGGGGACAGTTAAAGAAGATCCTGGAGCTGAGAGAAGGATTGTCTTGTTCGTGAACAGCCAGGCGGCCAGTGTTACTGGATCTAAGACCACATGTCAGGGAATAAGAGAACTGGAAAGATAGGAGGGGGCTAGGGTATGAAGGACTATGAATGTCAAGCAGCGGATTTTGTATTTGATCTTGGAGGCAATAGGGAGCCATGAGGTTCATTTCAAAGAGCTGGGAGTGGTAAAGCATAGAGAAAAAAGTTTGGGAGATTTATGACAGTTGTCTTCAGGTGTTTGAAGGCTGTCATATGAAAGAGGGATTGGACTTGTTTTGTGTGACTTCAGAGGGAAGAATAATGACTATGGAGTGGAAGTCACAAAGAGGCAGATTTTGCTTTGATGTAAAGTTAAATTTAACAATGAGGACAATCCCAAAGTAGAAAGAACTACTTTGAAAGGTAAAGAATTGCCTCTCCCTTGAAGTTTTCAAGCAAAGGTTGAAAGACTCCAGTAGTTGTTGGGGATGATGTGGAGGGTATTTTCATGAAGGTATGTGTTGAATCAGATGAAATCCCTTCTGGTTCTAGCATATTGTGTTTCTGTAACTTTTGCGGTAAGTTTCTATCTCGTCCCTCTGCTTCTAGTCTCTCCCACCCTCTAATTCAACCTTCATTCCACTTTAACACTGACCTTCCTAAAACAGTGCTTTGCATTTCTTTCTTTGCCTTCTTTAGCCTCACAACTTCCTTCTATCTATCCCTCCCACTAAAATAAACTTTCTTTTTAAAAAAATTATTTATTTTATTCTGAACTTAAGAAATGAAACAAGCATTTCTATAACACAGCAGAGTAGGAAAAAAAGATGATTGTACATGAAATTGCAAATCTATTATGTACAACTTGCTATTCCTTTTTAAGTTATGTGACTTTCTTTTTTCCCTCTTTTTTTCTTCCCTCTCCTCCTTCCCCTGCCTTAGAGATGGCTACCATTAGATACAAATATATGTGAAATCATTCTATACATACTTCTATTCATCAGTTCTTTCTTTGGATGCAGATAATGTCTTCCTTCATATGTCCCTTGTAGTTAATTTGGGTATTTATACTTGTCATTCAAAGTTGTTCTTAAAACACTATTGCTATTATAAACAATGTTCTCTTGGTTCTATTCATTTCACTCTTCATTATTTCATGCAAGTCTGTCCATGTTTTTCTAAGATCATTGAACTCATCATAAAATAAACTTTCAATGTATTTCCACTACAGGATAATATCCAAATTACTTAGCTTGACATTCAAGACACTCCATGAACTGCCCTCTACCTCCCTCTCCAACTTTATCCCACCTCTATTCTCCTACACAAACTCTATGCTTCCATTCTGAGCAAATGTATCAACCCTTATCATGTTGTATGCATCCTCCTTGATTCCTTCACTCTTTTCAGAAGGCTCTCCTCCCTTCCATTTGTGTAAACTCTATCCTCCCATCAGTAATTATAATAGCTCAAGTTCCTTTTTCATTAAACTTTTCTCAAATGATCTACTCTGAAATCATAGACTCATAGTATTTTATAGTTGGTAGGATCCTTAGTGGCTATTTTATCCAATCCATGTCCAAACAAGACTATCTTTTTATACCAGACAAATGGTTGTCTATTCTTTATGGGAAGATCCCCTGTAATGGGGAGTCCACTTTGTCTTTAGGCAGCCCAGTCTACATTTGGGTAACTCTAATTGCTAAGAATTTTTTTCTTTTTATCAGATATATATTTGCATGTCTGCAGCTTCTACCCATTGCTCCTAGTTGGTGGGGAGGGGATTAGCAATGGCAAAAAAAATTGAGTCTAATCCCTCTTACAGTGGATGACAATCCTTCAAATACTTGAGCACAGCTACCATGTCCTCCTCGAGTCTTCTCTTCACAAGGATAAAAGTTCCCAGTTCCTTTATTTTCTGCAGGGCATGCACTAACAATCCTTCACCATTTTAGTTGCCTTCCTCTGGATACTCTCCCACTTACCAATTATCTAGTGCCTGTAGAACTGCGCACAACACAATTCACACAGATATGCTCTGAGTAGAGCAGAGTATGTACAGTGGTACTATTGCTTCCTTATTCCTCAAAGCTATACCTCTTAGAGAAGCCCAAGCTCTCCTTTGTATTTTTTGGGGAGGAGGGTGGGCTGGCATACCACACTACTGACTTCTGTTGAACTTGCAGTCCACTAAAATCACCAGATCTTTTTCAGGTAAGCCATTATCTAACTGTGCTTCTCCCCCCCCCCCCATGACCTTCTCAGAACTTCTGTAACATTTATAACTTGTACAGCTTATTTGGTATTTTGTTTATATTGATTCTTTTTGGTGAGCTTTTTATAGCTGTATCCTCTCCCTTACTCGACAATGATTTCTGGAGGGACAGGGCAAGGACATGCTTTAAACCAGTATGGTACTCATTGAGCCATTTGTACTCAGTATTTGTTGATAATAATAGATAATGAAAGGGCTTCCTTAATGGAATATATGTTTAATACACACATTGTTTCTCCATCATCTTGTGCGGAATGGAAAATCTCTTCTAGGAGCAGATGTGCTTGGGTTGTCAACAAAATCGTGTGTGCAAACACCTAACAAAGGGTATAGTTTGCAACATCCTGTGGAAATGATGCCACTGCCCAGAGCTGCTTGTTCCAGAGTGGGGAGAATTGAGAGCTACATTTGGCTCTATTAATAGTCACAAAAGCCAAATGATGATAACTGATGGCAGTTATCTTTATGATTAAACTTTCACTAATGCTGTCATAGAAAGAGCACTCCATATCTAAGAAAACTCTCATTCAGAAAGATGGGGAAGAGAAGAACAAGAACAAAGAGAAGAAAGTAGAGAAAAAAAGGCAAAAGGGTAGCATATTTATGACTTAACTTTCTGCTTGACCTTTCTTTGGACACAATGAGTTAAAATTGGATCTGTGATTGGGAACACTGACTCTCTGGTGTCCTGAGGGACCTCCCACCCCTACAGCAAATAATGACCAGAAATAAGCAGAGGGATAAACTAGATAAATGTTGACACTTCCAATGTAATAAGACCGAATGGAGTGCAATAGCTCTTTATTTGTATGATCTTCATTAGCCTCTGTCTATTTGTGCTAGGCAGTGCAGTGGATGGAGCCCCAGCCAGCCCTTGAGTCAGCAAGACGAGTTTAAATCCAACCCCAGACACTTACTACCTGTAACCCTGGGCAAGTCACTTAACCCTGTTTGCCTCAGCTCTTCATTTGTAAAGTAGCTGGAAAAGGAAATGGCAAAGTACTCTAGTATCTTTGTCAAGGAAACCCTAAATGGCGTCACAAAAGAGCTGGACATGACTCAACAACAATAACAACAAATCTCAGTGAAATGCTAAATGAAGCTGCCTTCAGAACCCTTGACTAATTGGGAAATTCTCATGTCCTAAGGAAATTGGTGTCTTATTCATTCTAAACAAGAAGAAATTAAATTCACCTGCAAATCTATTTCTTAGTTTTATTCCTCCAATTAAGAGATTGTTAGATGTATGAAACAAAATGCTTTCATTTCTTCCATAAGCAAATGTCACATTCGTTCATGTTTCTTTTCTTACTAAATTGCTGGATTAACGTATCTACATTTCTGGAACCAAATATTCTAGGCTGATCCAAACTGAATTCCCACTTCCCACACACAACTTAATATTTTCCCATAAGTGCTGTGCAAAACAATTATAAAAGTGGCATTGAGTGATTGCCTACATAGACTTTCCAATAACCCAATATGGATTTTGACATTTATACAGTATTTCAGCTGAACTTTAATTCTAACCAGAAAATATTACACTTTCTGCACTGAAGTGTCTAGTTTTCTATTACCTTAATCTCAGAGTTCCCTTTTTATTGGCCATTCAACCAAGGTATTAAACTACTGTCTTCAATTTGCTTGAAATATCTGATTCACAACAGATTAGCCTCAAAAAATGTCATATAGACTTGGAAAAACTAATTTTGAAAGCAGCAGTAGTCAGTCTTTGGCTTGTGAAACCTTGAAATGTGTCAATTAACAAAAATTTCATGATAAACTGGGTAAAGCAAGTAGTTTACTGTTTTATATCAGCCTATTTTTTTCGATAGAAGTTTTAATACAAATAATTCAATGAAATAATTTCTAAAACCAATCAAATTAAGAAAGATAATATTTATACTTTTAAAGTGGGTGCCTTTTAAAAAGGTAAATGCATTTGGAGATACAGGTCTACAGGAATTTCACTAAGTCTAAAAATCTTTAGAAAGGGCCCCACTGCCCTCGTGTGTCTGAAAATCCCTCTTCTAGAAAATAACATGTAATTTTCATATTGTCCTTTGCAAAATAGCAAAGCAGCCTGCTCCCATATTAAAGAGGCAAAGTAACCAGGGTTGTGTCTTTTCTAGTAAGAAGTGATAGCTCTCTAGTATTGGGATA